ACTTTGTTTGAGGCTGTACTGATAGCACAGCTTGGTTTTCTGGTTAGCCCAGTGTGTGTGTGTGTGTGTGTGTGTGTGTGTGTGTGTATATGTGTGTGTGTGTGCGTGTGTTCTTCTTACACTATTCAATAGCATAACGTGTCAACAGCAGTTACTGTGCTTATACTAGGACCGAGTCCTTGTCACAGAGGTTGTACAGACCTCAGTCCTCCATCTTTCATCGCCCAGAACCAGAACCTGAGTCTTCGCTGTAGCAAACAGCTGATTCTCTTTCACATCACGTGTGACGATACTATAAAGAAACAAGCTATGTAGAGGAACACAATGTTGAAAAAAAGACATTGTTGTTTCCCTTCGCTCATCAGCTGCTGTTGGAGAAACGTTTCAGTTTCTCCTTCAGCGCCTCAGTGTGTCTCCGCTGCACGTCTTCATCACGTTATAAATGAGCCTGCAAACGTCTCAGCTGATTGATTTTGTTACTGTAGGGAGTTACATTAGCAAAACTGCACAACACCAGGATATAATTAAACATTTATAATATAATATTGTAAGAGTTCCACACAGGGCCATGTTAAAGACCTTACTGCAGCACTTCCCGACCTTTTCCAACTCATGGCCCACTTGAAAATCTCAAAAAATGTTGGCCGCCCACATTGGACCCTTGACAATACCGAGGCTAATTAACACGTTCTCAGATACTTTTTATTTTAATGATAACAAACATTCAGGACTGAAGTGAAATCAGGGGAAACTCATTGGACGGTGGAGAGATCACTTGTCGATTCATCGGACTCTTTCCTTTTAATTCTTCCTGTTGCTAACCAGATATCTATATTGATACTTCAGTTTTTGCCATGGATGTAATGTGTTAGCGCACAGTCAGACTGAGATAGCAAACAAGTATATGATGTGGGCCAGTGGCAACAACATACAAGTTCCTATCATTGGCTTATCACAGTGATAGGCCAAAAAAAACAATGAAAGAGTGTTAATGTTTAAAACATTTTAAAAAAACATGTAGGTACTGATGCCAGATAGAAGAGTGGGAAAACATCTGTTCCCACCTTTGTGCATGCATGTGCATGGACGATGTGCACCACATCCAACACGATTGTTCAGAGCCAGACTCTAGTGGTCAGTAGAGGAACTGCAGGTTATGGCACTTTAGTGTTGGCTCAGCCCTGGTGGCTGATGCTTGGGTTCCCCCTATATAGGAGGCCGGGACCATCTTTACTGACAACCAGTATGACTTTCTTTTTTTTTACCATGAACACAGTTTTCAGTCTTTCCCCAACCTTAGTTTAGGACCATCAGAAAACCATAGTTTAACTTTTGTAGCCCCATTTTGAAAGGCTCTGAACAATGCAATGACACAACCCTCCACAGGACCACGCGTGGGAGTTGGCAATGACACAAACAGTCCTGCTCACATATCCAGCAGACAGCAGCCATGTTGCTGTGTCTCTATGTCCTCTGTAGCTCTGAGATGTGAACAGGCCACGTGTCTGCTTGTGAGCGTCTCTCTCTGTTCACCAGCTGTCATGGACCAAAGCTCTGCTGCAGAGGTCTGGAACAACCATGCAAACACAACAGAACAGGAGTGTGGAGGGTCAGGACCAGATCTGTGCAGCTGCAGCCACAGTCCAGTCCAGATCACTCAGCCTTAGTAGAAGCACAGTAACCAGCAGGCGAATAATGATAAGAGTCCAGTCACACTTGTATAATCATCCTGTACAGATGTCTGTGTAGAGAGTTGGTTGAACATGGAGTACCACAGGTAGTGAAGCGATCAACATAAAAAGCGTATCTGTAAATAAATGTATGCAAAGTGTACATGTTAAAAAAGAACATTCCTCTCTTTGAGTTCTGACTGTGACGGGTGTCTTTAGAGGTCCGACGCCACGCGATGGCTGTAACTATGACGATATGCTACAGAGAAAAAAAAAAAGATTAAATGTGGTGTATGTGGTGTATTAAAAAAAAAAGATACAAATGTTTAAGACAAAAAAAAAAATTGGTCTTTTCAGTAAGTTGCATTGTGTGATGAAAGTTCAATGGGGAAAAATACATTTTATTGTAAAAATAAATCAAGAGTGATGAACATGATCAAAATGACATTTTTGTATATATGGGATTTTTGTAAATTTTTATTTGAATCTAATGCAACACAAACTACCAAAATTCATTTAATAAAGTACACTGTGGTCATTTTCCTGGACTCTTCTTCATTTGTTCTGGAATTTAGTGACATTGGGGTATAGTTCTCCTCCTCATCTTAATTATTATATTAGCATTGTTTTTGTTATTAATATTCTACTCAGGGTTATAATATTTTTGGATTCTTCTTTAGTTTTTATCTTTATATTGTCTTGATTTTTTGTTTTCAATTTCGCTTTAGTTTTAATCAGTTTTTTGTTTTTTGAAAATACTCAGTTTTAGTTTTTATTAGTTTCAGTGTTAGTTTTAGTTTTTTTGTAATATATAGTATTTGTCAGGGGTGAGATTCAAAAAGTATAGTGTAATAAAAACTCAGCAAAACATCGAACCATTTTGTGTGAAGAGTAAACATGTAAAGAGACACAAGATGCAGCCTGAAGTGTTAATGTGTGTACCTGTGTGTGAGGTGATTATTATTAAAATGGGACACAGGCCACCATCTTTTTTTTTTTGGAATGAGTAAAAGGCAGTGGAGCTCTTCGCTCGAGCTTTTAGTCTCACAGCTGCCTCCTTCTGCATGAGGTGGAAAATCTTCTCTACGGTCGCATGGACCCTGGAGAAAAGAGCGGGACGCCGGTGAATCTGGCGTCTGTAGCAGCTCTGTAAACATTTTGCCTCGAAGCCGGAACCCACGAGTCTGATAGACAGTTTTCCAGCTGTCCAGGCATAGCCAGGAAAAACACACACACACACACACACACAGACAGGAATTCACATAACACATCTTATTAAAATAGATTTATTAACAGTTTGAACTGGATCTCAATATTTAAAAGTGCAACATTTATATTATATTGCCATAATTTAAAAATACATATTAGATCATCTCAACAGAAACAACATAAATATGGAAAAAGGCAACGAGTTGACAGAAGTAAAGCATCCAGTTAAAGTTCAGTCAGACACACAAAGGCTTCTTCTTTAAAGTTGAGTTGGCAGTGATGTTCTGATACTCTGAGGACTACGTGTGCAAAACCATCTGTTCATCACAATATTTACTCACACATGCATGTATATATATTTACACTGATTATTACGCTTTATCTCCAAAGTAGAAAAAGTTACATGACACCTGTTTAGTTTCCAGCTGTGATGATGAAGCACTGAGGATCATATTACTTCATCATTAATATAAACACACAGTCTGCACTGATGAAGGGAGGAGTCAGTATTTGGACTGATATGATCAATATTATAGTGAAAGGATACGTGAGCTTTGTGAGGGGACACTGCGCAGGTAGCAAAGTAAATCCGGCCCATACTCGGGCCACATGCTTGTTTTTGTCTGGCCCAGTATACACCCGGTTCCACGGCCCGAATCTGGCCCATATACAGCATGATTGTAAAATGCTACTTCCACATCTGGAACAATTCTGGCGCAAACACAAAAAAACTTCCAGCTGTCAGTCAGTACCAAAGGATAACAGCTGATAACAGCCATCTGTCCAGATGTGGAAGTATATGGGCCAGACTTGGGCTGAGCACCGAGGTATTTGTTGGGCAAGAAGTTTTATTTTCTATCTGAGTGACGCACGCACACACACACTCACACGCACACAAGCACGCACTCACGTACACACACACGCATCTGTTTTTTTTTTACATATGTATCTGTAGTTCAATTTGAAACAATACTCAGTGATGGATAATAAATGTAATGCACTTCTAATGAAGGTTTGATCAGTCCACTTGTGTTGTGAAGGAGCTCAAAGTGCCGATGCCATCAGGCTTCTGTTTAACAGCTGGACTCATCATTCAAACTGTCATCCATTTGTTTTGTTTTCAACACAATTTAAAGTGACATCTCGTCATACCTTTGTTTTTTTCTGTCTGTATAAGTCTCCCTCTTTACTAAACATCATCCTGCTGCTCTTATTTTAGTCTCAGTTTGTCAGTGTGATTGATAAAAGCCACCTGCTGCACCTTGACCTCCTGTCAGCTCAGTTTGACACCTTCACAGGTTCACCACCACAAAGTCCAATTGTCAGGGCTACTACAACTAACCATTACTTTCATTATTGATTAATCAATTGTTTTGTTTTTTTTTCTGTCAATTATTCAATTAGTTAAAATGCAAATTATTAATCAGTTTACACAGATATGAAAAGCTGCACATCCTCACAGTTACTTCATTACCTGTTGAATAACATTGTGTTGATCAGCTCATGGTTTCAGAACAAGCTATTTGTAAGTTTAGCTGTTGCTACATAGCCAACATTAGCATTAACAGCTGTTACTTACCAGTCTCACCAAGAGCTTCAGTCTTGTTGTGTTAACAATGTGTTGCCTGAACAGCTACTTCCTCGGGACAGACTGGAGACTACAGTGACTCAGTATCAGAAAGTGATGAGACAGCTAGCTGGTTAGCATGCTAACTCCAGTAGAAAGAAAAGAAGTGAAAAGAAGAGATCACACTGGTGTTTGTTTCCACCTCTGGAGACAGCTGTTGGTGATTTAAGGAATGGAGTTTGATGCTGAACTCACAACGATTCTTTTAGACTGGTAAGTAAACAGCTGTTAATGCTAACGCTAGCTATGTAGCAATAGCAAAACTTACAAATAGCTCCTTTAAAAGGTATCAGAACCCCAAATGAACTCAGAGTCCTGACAGACTGTAGCGCCTGGATTTACACATGCACATTTCAGTGATCATCACTCAGGTAACAGTGGACGGTTCACTGACAGAAAAAAAAAAGTGTTTGATAAATTATTTCAGCAGAATTCAAAACCTTCCCATCTATGTTCCATATAGGGTTCAAGTCTGACCTGCGTCTCTTCGCTGCATGTAACCCCCCCCTCTCCCTCCCTGTGCTGTCAGAATACAGGGGAAAAAATGCCCCCCAGTTAAAGTTTTCTAGCATGTGTCATTGTAGTCAATTATATTAGAAATATCAGCAGATAATTTGTACAACAATGGACAAAATAATAGGAACACCTCTCAATATACTATCATTTCATACAACATAAAGTACAGCTTCACAAAGACCAAAGAGGTGAATCAACACCTCTGTGACAGTCTGACCCAGGCCATGTCTGAATTTCATTTACGAGTGTTACTATTATTTTGTTTAGCCTCTGTGTCTATGTACATAAATATAATAGGTAATAAAACTTTATAAAATATTTTGGAAAAAAGTTGAAAATTGTCCCAAAAAGTATCTGGACACCAAACGTGCCTGAGGACGTTCTGTCACACCTCCAGGTCAGAGCTGGTTAACAGAGACATTAACTGGAACATCACTGATTTTTTTTTAGAGGAAATTATTGTGACAGTTTCCAGGAAGTTAGACAACAAGTAAGAGACCTGAAAATAAAAGGTTACCATCATTTTATCCATTAATAAAAGGGTTGGAATATGTCCATATGGTCAATATAAGAAACACTGTGTTACTGTGTAACAAGTTAATCTCACCTACGCCATGCTGTCATTCTCCTGTGACCTGAGCTCAGCTAAACTCCAGCTTTAAAGACATCAAACCTAATCCAGGTCCAGCTCTGGTCCGACCCTGCAGCCTGGTCATTAGTGTGTGTGTGTGTGTGTGTGTGACACTGAAGCTGTGCAAACTCAAAGTGCTGTTACACATCATCAGTACAAGCAGTTGTCTGTAAAGTCACTGCAATCAAACAATGTATAGACTGACCGACATCATGAATCTCCTGTTGACCTTAATGTTCAAACATCTCTTTTCAATAAACTGTCTGAATCCTAACCACAGTTGCCATGGTAGTCAGTGTTACTCCTGTTACAACGGTGTTCAGGCACACACCGATCACATAACATACCCACCATCATTTTCAACTGGAGGGAATAGAGCCAATCAGGGCTGGCATGGGTTAGCTCCTCATGTCAGCGGGATCCTTCGTTAATCAGCGTATTGGATCCGCCCGACTGCTGCTATGAAAATGTCGAGGGACACAACAGAAGATGTGTTGTAGCTCCAAGAACATCCCCAATTGTTGTGCTGTAACTTCAGGGATTTTAACACCCAGTCCTACTAACAAATCGTGTATCAGTGGTAGCGCACACGTTCATCAATTTAAAAATTTTCACTTGTAAAATACTAGTAATCAATACTCAGTGGGAGCTACAGTTATAACCTGACAGTGTAGGCTCTGTGCAGCAGCAGAGTCACATGACAGAGCAGCAGAGCCTGATCATGTGACTAGAGGAGAGCTGACCTGCAGGACGATGGTGGAGGATTGGGTGTCAAAGTGAAAAACAAAAGCTCCATTTCACATTTAAACTCACCACCAGACGTACAAAGTGAATCTGAAAACTGTCTGATGAAGGTGGTAACACCTGTTATCTACAGATATTCAGCCAACACGTGTCTCAAGGTCTTGATGTCCGGTGAGATCAGTAACACCTGTGTTGTAATGAGTACATATTACCCAGTGTCGTCCCTACATCTAACGTCACAAGAACTCTGATATAGTGTCTCTGCGTACCGATAAAAACGATGATCTTTTTATTAATCACTTCTGAGGTCTGATTATTGTCAAGTCCGATATCACTTTAGGAAGTCTGGCTTTTATCAGATGCATCCTGGGAAAAAAGGAAGTCTGTGTAGACAAAAATACACATCTGAAACGTGCAATATAAACATCACGCATGTGAAAAGAGCCTCAGCTGCAGTCAGCCAGTGGTGTTTGGGGGGTGGGGGGTGGGGGAGGGGCAGTGAAGAAACCGTGCAAATATTCCACCAAACCTGTGCACGCTGCAGCGCTCTGATCACACGCTGGACAGTTTGTCTGTGGTGGTTCTGCTGGTGTTAACGCTCTTTGTGTTTGGTGTGGAACCTCTCAAACAAAGCTCTCAGGATGTTCCCCGGGATCTTCTGGTGCTGGTCGATCAGAGACCGGACCGCCTGCTGCACCTGCAGAGACAGAACCTCTGTCAGCAGCAGCATCAGGTGAAGCTCACAAATCTACGGAGCGAAAACTCTGGCCCTGCTTCAGTCCGCTGTAACATTCCTTGTACAAGATGTTTTTGGAGGATTAACCTGATGGTCATGGAGGAGCATCCAGAGACTTAGCAGCAGACTTCATACAGTTTGTGTTATCTCTGACATCCAGTAGACACATGATGAGATGCCAGCCATTGTTTAGTGACGTGTTTGGCTGGATGGATTCAACAATGTCATTGTTAGAACAAACAAAAAATACAATAATAGATTTAGTTAAAGGCTTTTAGCCTTTAGCCTTTAAGTAGCTCTGAAACTGTGCACTTTGCACTTTTGATGTCAGTGGTTGGTTGATACATTTGGAAGAAGTAGAAGACTGTGGTGTGTGTTTGTGTTTGTATTTGTATTTGTGATATTAATCTATTACTATTCCACCTTATTTCACTATCATTTTTTAACATGTTCTTTATAATTATTATTAATAGTAATTAGTAATATAAGAGAAGAGGAGAGGAGAGGAGAGGAGAGGAGAGGAGAAGAGAAGAGAAGAGAAGCTGTCAGCAGGACATCAGCTTCAGTGGACTCACTCTCTCTGCCAGCTCTGCAGCATCTATGTTGGGGTCATAGGGGATGGGGTCACCGAGGAAGGTCCTGAACTTCACAGGAAATCCTCCATAAACTGGAGCCACAGGGAGACGAAACCTCTCGTACAGCCAACGAAAAAACCCTGAGAGAGAGAGAGAGAGAGAGAGAGAGAGAGAGAGAGAGAGAGAGAGAGAGTTACATGGAGAAACAAAGAGAGGAGTGACATAACACTCAGCCAATCAGATTCACATCCGCCTGAGTCAGGTCAGTTCACTTTGCTCCACCCTGTCTTCAGGATGAGTCTGGACATATTCCATGTTTTCCTCCATGTGCAGACTCTAAGCACTGTGTGTGTATCACAGTCTGATACATCTCAGTCCTCTGACACAGAGCTCCATCACATGTTCCTTCATTACTATCAACACACACTTTGACTCACACATCCACTGTGTGTCACTCCACTCTCCACACAGGACAGACACAACAACGCCAACATACAACGTGCATGTGGAACGACCTGGGCTGTGTTCTCCTGCGTGTGTGTGTGTGTGCGTGTGTGTGTGTGTGACTGTGTCTTGTGTGAACCTCGCAGTGTGTGTCACGGTGTGTGTCCGTCGTCTTTGTGATTTCACTTACTGAGTGTTCCCAGAGACCTGAAGCCTTCCCGCACATTCTGAGTAAACATTGGAATGACTGGCTGAAAGAGAGAGAGAGAGAGAGCAGAGGAAGAGAGGATCAGAGAGGATCAGAGAGGAAGAGGAGGATGAGTGAGGACGATGCTGCAGCTGTTCAGTTCACTGGACAAACATTAATCACTTTGATTAGCTGTTATTAAAAGTGATACATGCTGTGAGGAATATGAAATGATGAAACTTTCTACTAACACATGACACACTGAACAACATGTGCACACAGAAACTAAAAATGATTCTACATGCCTGTTATTACAGAGCTGCTGCTTTTCATCCATGAATTTTTAGCTGGTTGATTTTAGTGACAATAACAACATGGCTACAGTTCCACCTGTCAGTGAACTGCCTCCTTATATATGACCCACAGTGTGTGTGCCAGGCAGAGGGCTCTGCCCAAAGACCAGTGTCATCAGACCTCTGACAGACTTCTGCTGGTAGAACATGCTAAGCTTTTGTTCACAGACACAGTGGGTCATGTGATCAATTATGCCAGGACACTTAGATCTGATCAGTTATTTTCAGACACTGTTGACTGTTTGAAACAACTTTTAATGAAACATTATTCAATACAAAAACAACAAGAAAACAATACCAAATAAATAATGTTAATGGAGGTAGGGCATGTGGTGGACTATGGCGCAGCATACAAACAGATGGATGGACATAAGGAACAATACATGGAAAACCACTAGCTCAATAATTTGCAGAGAGTAGTACTGGAAAATTCAATCAGGACTCTTTATAACACCTTTCAACCAAGCAGCAAGTACTCTACGGAGGTGGAGAAGCCAACCACACCCACATCTTTCACTCCTGCCCTGTTCTGCAGAAATACTGGATGGAAATAAGTATAATATAATAATATCATTGGCTGAAACCAGAAGCACCGCAATTAATTAAATGTATAAAATGGAGATAATTAATCACAGGACCAGGAATCTAGCAAAACTATTTGACATAAGATGGACCAGGATCCGGAAAACAAATATAATACAAAATTAATATTAATTTTAAAAAACAAAGGGAGAGGGGAAAGAAAGGGGGAGGGGATGGGAGGGAGGAGAAAGGAATGAGAACAACTATATAGTTTAAAATGAGTTAAACCTGTCTTATTCATTGTATTTTCTTCTCTCTCTCTCTCTCTTCTTTATTTTTATGAATTAATTTTTCTTCTTAAATTTACTCAGCTAAAGTATGTATGTGTATGTATGGGTTTTTTTTGGTGGGGTGGGGGGATATATGCTGCAGATATCATAGAGTTGTTAACTCCTTCTGTAAGGGAATTCAGTCTAACAAATAAAAAAACAAAGTAAATAATTCTAACATTAAATAAGGTTCAGTAAGGATTTCCACAGCAGGGAACAGACCAAAGGCGACCAAAAACATTCTCCACATCTCTACTGAACGCTGTGATGTACTGTCTGAAAGAAACTGATGGGATTCCTAGCAGAACTGATCACATCTCCCACCGCGTCTGTCAAGTGAAATTTATGAAGTAACGGCGACTCACCACTTGAGAGTCGATGGCGACCTGAGCAAAGCCTTTGCGTTTGCCCCAGAGCAGAGGGTAGTTCTCATCACTGAGCAGAGCCTCCCTCACTCCTCCCGGAGAAATGCCCAGCAGGTGACCGTTCCTCAGAGCCCGCACACACTCCTCCTGAGGACCGTGGATCACACTGAACACCTCCAGCAGTAACTTGAAGCCTGGAGGAACGGGGACGGGATCAGACGAGACGGGGGAGGGACGCAGCAGATTCGAAAAGAGCCGATGGGGAGGGAAAAGAAATTCCGGAAAAACCAGTTGAGTTGCAGAGAAAAGCTGAGTATGTGGGTGAGGGTTAGAGCATACACAGTATGTGTGTGTGAAGAGCGTGACGTCACACCCACAGGTGAGTTTAACCTGGTGCAACGCCTCTGAGCGCTCTGTGCACCTGTTAGTTAATGTGAACAAACATGCTGCAGAAGCATTCAGTAATCAGCTGTAACTATGAAAAATAAATATATCACTGTAACTCCATATACCTTTATTTGTAATTAAGAATAGAAGCAAGTCACATGCTTCATCTAGATCATCATTTATTCACCAAGTCTCTTTCCATTGCACTTTGTTGCGTTTATGCTTTTATCAACACACATATTGAGGTTTAATGTGCCCTGATGTGTGTGACAGAAGCTACGGTAAATGTATGTGTGTTCACGTGTGAAACAGAGTGAGCACCTGGGATCTTGAAGAGGAAGTGGTCAGCTACAGAATGGCAGGTCCGTCCCTTCTGGATGATGACACTAGCCAGGAAGTAGTAGTAGTCGATGGGAATCGCTCCGTGATAGTAAACGATCAGCGCTGGGCCTTTGTCGGGGATCTTCTCCATCCCATGGATCTCATAGCCTGGTACACATGAGGCGTACGTGTTATTTCTTTAAGAGCTGATAAGAGCTGTGGCCATGAACAATCAGTAACCTGCAGCTTAAAAAAAAGTTTTTCCTTATATATCGCACTAACACACGAGCATCACGGTCGTCAAATATCCAACTGTTTACTGTCGTCTTTCCCATAGATCTAAACGCAGATGTCGCTTTAGTCACTGTTACTATGGAAACACCAGCTGAGCATCTCTGTGACTGAAGCTCCTGCCATCTGAACCCCAACACTGAACTCTAGATGGATCTTTTCCCCTTGATACAGAATCAGAATCAACTGGACCCCATCAACATTTTCATACCCGCCACAGAGCATGATGGGATGTTGACTGCCTCGTTGTACCCTGCAGTGCACCTGCGTAGAAGCATCTGCATTCATTGGGTTTCTCCACTCGTTTATTCAGCTTTGTCCTTTCATTTGTCAGTCGGTATTTCTCTGTTACAGGACTTTCTCACAGTGACTTGGCGTAGCAGGAAAAGCACAGGAGTTACATTAGTGTCTGAATACTTATGTCGATGTGATATTTGAGTTTTTAATTTTTAGTAAATTTGCTCAAATTTTTTAAGTTCTGTTTTCACCTTGTCATTATGGAGTACTGAGTGTAGACTGATGAGGGAAAATGGGGCTGCAACAAAATAAAATGTATAAAAATGGAAGGGGTCTGAATAATTTGGAGCTTAACTGAAAGAACACCGAGCATCTTTGACACCAACGTTTCCTCTGGGACGAACAAAGTTCTTTGTTATATTATCTTAACCGTGTCCTCACTGACCTCCTTCACCTCAGAATCTTTCTCCTTTGTCGTTTCTTCTTGGTGACTGTAGGTGTATAAATGTTGTCTGAATGCTATGTGACAGACTCTTACCGTGCCATATGGCTCCATGTCCGTCCCACAGAGTAGCCAGGGTCTTCCTGGCTCCATCCCACAGGTTGTTGCAGTAAGCTTCCCTCAGCTGATTCTTCCTCTGTTCAGAACAACAGCAACAGATTTTAACATCCTGCATGGCTCTCATTTCTACGGTGGCCCTGAGAGCTCAACGCACTGCAACTTAAGAAAACACATGCAAAGACACAAACGTGCTACAAATTCAGTCCTACAACACGTGTGTCCAGCACACACAAGCACGGGGGTTCAAGTCCAACCCGGGGCCCTTTGCTCCATATCATCCTCTGTCTCTCTCTTTCTCTCTCTCTCTCCCTGACTTCATATCTCTCTCTCTCTCTCTCTCTCTCTCTCTCTCTTCCTGTCTGCCCTGATTTCATGTCTCTGTGCTCTCTCCCTCTCTCCTCTCTCTATCTCTCTGCTCCCTGACTTCATGTCTCTCCCTCTCTCTCTCCTGTCTCCCTGACTTCATTTCTCTGTCTCGCTCTCTCTCTCTCCCTGGCTTCATGTCTCTCTCTCTCTCCTCCTGTCTCCCTGACTTTATGTTCTCTGTCTCTCTCTCTCTCTCTCTCTTATCTCTCTCTCCTCCTGACTTCATGTCTCTCTCTCTCTCTTCTCTCTCTCTCTCTCTCTCTCTCTCTCTCTCTCTCTTCTCTTCTCTCTCTCTCTCTCTCTCTCTCTCTCTCTCTCTCTCCTGTCTCCCTGACTTCATGTCTCTGTCTCTCTCCCTCTCTCTCTCTCTCTCTCCTGTCTTCATGTCTCTCTCTCTCTCTCGCTCTACTGGAAGTAAAAAATAACAGTGATGAACCTGGCTGGGAAACACTTGTTATTCAATTAATTGAACAAGTGCGTCCCAGCCAGGTTCATCACTTTTCAGTGTTCCCTGGAAACACTTCCTCTGTGTTGTGTGAATTTGCAGTGCATGTGTTGTCAAATTGATGAAGATGTTTCCTGAATTTGCAGTGTGTTTGTGTCTTTGCACGTGTTTTCTTAAGTCGCAGTGTGTTGAGCTCTCAGGGCCACCGTACATTTCAGTGGTTTGGTCCAAAACGTATTACTCCAACTATTCACCTTTGTTTAAGCTTCATTTCAGCGACTGGTGCTGGACGTGCCAGTCAACAGATCAGGTCAACTGTTCAGAAACTCAGCATTACTCTTAGATACCCTTCAGATGCATAACTTGCAAATACATATAAGAATAGATAAACATTAGTTAAACAATAGTTAATATTGAATCAATTGCCTATGTATAAGCTAATGATCAGGGCAGGTATTCACAAAGCATCCTAACTTGCCGATTTAGGAGAAACTTCTACAAATAATCAGCGTGTCAGTCCTAACTTTAGGACTCCTCATTTTTCCGATGAACAGCTGTTCACAAAGCCACTTAGCTCTAAAAGTATCTCCTAAGTCTGGGAGAAGGTAGAAGCAGTGGAGAGGACTCCTATAACTCACTAAGACCAAATCACAAAGAGTCTTAAAGGGCTGCTGCCACTCCACGTCCCAGTGTTCTGGAAACCTTACAAGATGCTGAATTAATTTAAAGATACGACTCAGTCACGAGGGAATAATGATCGTTGTGGAGTTTGTGAAGGTGCAATAGCTTCTCCAACTGAAAACAACCCGATCAGTGCGGAAAGGAAGTGTTCGGCAACACTGCGTTGCTTAGCAACAGAGAAAAGGCGAACTATTCACCAAACAATAAATGTTTAATGCATTAATCTGACAGTATTCTGCTCAATCTTGTGCAATGTTGCAGAAATTATATACATCCGACCTTGTCAGATTACCATTGTGAACTTTACCAACAGATGACTCAACAGCAGGTGCTCAAATGTCCACAGCATTTACAGAGCTTTATTTTCCCGTTATTTATTTCCTCTGTGCTATTCTGTAACTTATCTGTTCAGTTCAGAGTTTAGAGCTGCCTGCTCGAGATGTTGGATGATAAACAGTGAAGGCAGTTTGATTTGCGCTGGTCCATTTCTGTGTGACTGGCTGCTGAACAAAGGCTCCAGCCTGTGATCCCATGAATCAGCTCTGAGCTGACTAGTTTAACTTGTAGTTTGAGGATGTATTCTGGCCTCCTGGTTCAGTTCAAACCTGTACTGCTGACTGTTTGTCACTGTGCTCATTTAACAGACCCTTTGGTCACATTCTGTCTAATTATGTGAAGGTTAAAAAGTGATTAGTACACACGTATCATGTTATAACACCAGGCTTTATTAGAAGGTAAGAGGCATTTAAGAGGCTGCTCTTTATGTCTATCTCCTTCTGTTTGATATGTACAGTTGCTCATAGCGTATTTTAGTATGAAGCCACATGATCCGATTCCGTTTGCTCTATTAAAAGTTACGGCATTATGTATTAATACACATGCAAACGCTTCCTGTAATCATTTCAAATTAAAAGCCCTCTAGTGTTTCAGTGGGCAGAAACCTTTTATCTCTTAACAGGGCTTTTATTGCTGTGCTGCAATAGGCGTATTGTCTCCTTTCTGGTAACACACAGTAGTAGTATCATGTTATAGCACCAGCCTTTATTATTTATGACTAAAAATACTGGATGGCAGGTAAATCATTTGCGAGCGCCTGGTAAATGACACGAGCTGTGATTCACTGTTCATGCAGTGCATGAGGAGCGTGTGCGTACCTTATAGACATGGAGGAAGAGTATACTCAGGTAAAGGAGGATGACGATGAGGAAGGGCACGATGAAGACGATGGCCAGAGGGGTGAAGACCCACAGCAGGTACTCCAGAACACTCAGGTAGTCCTCCAGCTGACCAAGCCCTGCCCATTCCTCCCATGCGTGAAACACACACATCTGTGGAGCCACAAAGACACACACAATACTTAGATCCACCACCACAGACACAAACATCTCAGCAGCTACTGGATGATGCTGTGAGATGTTGTTCAGAGGTTGATGTTTGCCAGAGGATGAGTCCTTATGACTTTGGGGGTTCATATAGAACTGCCAGCTGTTTGTTCAGTTTTGGTTCAGAGCTGCGAACATACAGTAGCTGTACCGGTTAGTCTTGTTGTCAAATCATTTTTCAATGACTTGAGCAACACATACGGATTTCTATTCTCCCCCATTGTAGTGGATTCATGGTTAACAAGAAGGTGGATATCTGACCAGTTCAACACCAATATCAACATTGGTGTTAAATGGGGATTTGGGTGAACTGACCCTTTAAGCAGGCACACTAAGCTGTGAGTGTATTGTGAGTCTATACACATACACACATAACACACACACAGTTGCTGTCCCAACAGATGCTACGACATGAGAAATAAATGATGTTTAACAGTGCACTGATTAGAGCTGCACAATTAATCAAATTCTAATCGAAATTGCAATGTGGCTAAGTGAACGATCCAAATCACAGGATCTGCAGGTTCTTTGATGAAGGAAAACTGTGTCACAGCATTTTCAGCACCATACGTGTTGTGGTGCTACAGAGACGCCCCGGCCAACAAATCACATTCTCCAGACGTGAATGAACATGTTCGTTTGGTACAAGACCAACAAAAAAATCACATCAACAGTTTTATAGTTTTTTCAGTGAAAATAAAATGTAAAAATGACCATTGCAACTGAACCTGAAATATCTAATTTCAGCTCAAACTATCAAACTGTCCTATATTCAAATCCAGACTGCAGAGCATGGATCTGCGCCAGAGGGCTAACAACTCATCCATGGACTGACAAAGTTGACTATGATGCAATAAGCAAAGACTCTTCAGGTCGAGCATTTCAAACCATAAACTATAGCAAACCAAACTTGAGGATCATGTCATCAAATGAGAAGTTTATTCATTATTATATAAATACTATATAATTATATAATTGTATTTTATGTTTGAGGTATAACTGATGTTGCCACTAAACAGCAGTTCAAAGTTTTATATTGTCACATGCCAAGGTTCAATGTCAAGTAAGCAAACAGTGAAATGAGGGTAAGCCTTTGCAGCTGGACAGAAGAAAAGAAAGTTATATTGTGATGTTCAAATATTTGCGAGTATCGGCCAAAGCCGAGTGAGTGATGAATTCCCTGTCAGTTCACTAATTTATTAATTATGAATACAATAATTATTGTACATTTGGCTACTTTTACCTGAGCGCTGAAACCATTTCTATTGCCTGATATACAGCTTGTTCTTTCAACCAATGCAGAAATGTCTTACATTTAACAATTGTATCTCTCTTATTAGAAGTTACAATACATTACATTCATATGGCAGTGTGACACACACGAGGAGCAGTCTGGCGTTCAGTGTCTTCCTCAAACACCAACAACCCTGCAATGAACGACCAACCCACTCTAACAACTGAGCTGGTGCCGCCTCATCATGTAACTGTAGTCACAAACCCTGATCTGATCAAGCAGACACTCGTAATCAACACTTTCTTTAAGTAATCTAAAACAAAATCGCTGCATGAACACAGCCTAATGTACAGAGAGAATAAACAGTGCCAGTACTAAACAGACAGGGTTCATACCAGGAGAGAGACCGTGTCCTCTGCTATGGTCAGGCAGGACTGGTTCCCACTGTCTGACATCCTGCTGACAGAGAGGCTGCAGACAGGATCAGTCAGTCCGGCAGCCTCAGGGGGAAGGATCCCACTGCATGGAGAGCATCTGCTGCTGTACACAGTCAACTACAGGAGGGGACAAGAAAACACCACTCAGTACAATAACAATACAATAGCTCCATTCATCCATGAACGGAAACATTTCCTGTTACACTGCATTTAATTTAGGTATAATACACATGTAAGTGTTAGGTCAACAGAGGCACATTTGAGGGGTTTTGAATGATTTGTCAGTAACATTTTGTAGAACAGTAAGTAGTAAGATTCAGTAAAAACGGGTACTAACGAGACACGACACCGAGCCCTGTTATTGCACTGACAGCTGTGCTGTATGTCATTTAATGGAAGTTAGCTTTAGTGTGTGGGTTAACGTTACAGCCTGGCTAAGAGGAGAAGACCCGTGAAGAAACTACACACTACAGCTGTAGCCAGGGGCCGCGGTAAAACTCTCAGCTAACTGAGGTTAAATGAGCGGAAATGGAAAATCAGAGAGTTGACAGCAGCCTTCAGAGTAAACGTCACCAAACACAGAAGACGTTACCTTGGACAGTCACCCGGTAAACTGAGCCATTAAACCACACCACTGTTCATTTAATGTCACACCAAAACACCAAACACATATATAGCTGTTAGCTGACAGCGGTCCTGGTCCTGACCCCGGAGCGCTTTGGCTGTGACACAGTCCGGTGTTTCGGAGTCCCTGGAAAATACGGTACCCGCAGATAAGTTCCGCTTACCAGCAACAAAACATGAAAATTAAACTTCCGTTTCGACCATGGAGCGCACGTCTTTGACCTTCAAAATAAAAACGCAAAACAGCTAGTGACAGAGAACTCTATTTTCAATAACCTTATTTGTAAGGAAGTAAAACCCATGCAGGAGATGAAAGTCAAAGAAGGCTAAGGGTGGAGAAATTGCAAACAAAAAGATAAGATATAAATATAAATAAATACAAAATATGACATTATCATCCAAATATATAGACCCAATACTCATTTAGTAACTGCAATATAGGATATCCAATGTAAGTCGAATAATAGTCGAATAGTCAGCACAATAATAATAATAATAATAATAATAATAATAAAGATATCAATAACTATGATGATGATTATTATTATTACCATTATCATTATTGTTGTTGTTATTATTATTATTATCATAACTTTATTTATATAGCATTTTTCAAAGTGCTTCACAGAAAAATGAAACTAGATAAAAGAGAAGCCGTAGTAGAAGTGATGACAATGAAATGAATAACAGCAAGTAAAAAGAGAAGAGCGGTATGAATAAAAGCACAATACACATTGATATTTTTATAAGAATTAAAAACATAAGTTTCCAATTGATAGATATGATTAAAGGGCTGTGTTATATCATCAGCATTTGTGGAGCAGCATTGTACAAAGGACTGTAGAGTGTGTGCTGTACCTCCTCTTTCATTCTCAAAAACAGTATGACTGCATCTGAGTTTGATTCCCGTGATTTTTACTCTTTAGCAAAATTAGCGACAGAAAACACATTGCATTTATTTGGACAATTGACAACAACGCTTTTATTCTGAAAAGACATGGCCGGAAGTGTCGTACTGTACTAGCATACGGGACGTGAGTGTGTTTGAGCGCGTCCATGCTGGTCCGGACACAGACGGGGTCAGCCGGTGTATGAAGGTGCTGGTGTCGCTGTGTGCAGCTGATGGTGAAGATGATGCTGGAGAGGAGCAGGGTGACAGTGGTGGCGGATCTGTTCTTCACCAGGAAACACACTGAGGATGAGGAGGAGGAAGAGGAGAGGATTCACTGTCTCTGCTCCAGAGCCTTCGTACAGTGAGCCTCTCTCATCTCTCTTATGTCCAGCATCACTCTCTGACACGGGCTGTGTGAAGCTGTGGAGTTGTTAGTCTTCTAATCATCTGTCTGTGTTGTCATCCTCTGTCCAGGGATCGAGAGCTGTATCGCTCTGATAACAGATTGCTGACCTTTGACCTGACAGACGCCTCAGTCCAAGGTATGTTATAGCATCTCATCATGATTAACATTAAAGGGAGGGTGAAATCAAACAAAGTTGAAACATGATTTTATTTTGAATAATACAATATTCGACGATTGGTCTGGAAAAGGAATTCATAGCTTTATTGATATATTTATTGACAATGTGTTTCCATCATTTGAGCAGGTGCAAAGGAAATACAACATACTTAGATTGCACTATTTTAAATGTCTACAGGTATGGGATTTTGTGAAGCAAAATAACCTGTTATATCCCAATTCCTCAAACCAATCTGCGATGGAATTGATACTTACACTGATACGAGATCCTCAGAAGAAAAGAGATATATCAAATATACAATTACAACCACTATGGACCTGTTGAAATCAGCCTGGCAGGATGATCTGGGTGGGGAGGTTGGCAGACAGCCGTCGCTCAAACTCATTTATTTTTTCAGTATTGGCCACCTTCAGTTTAAGATACAGAGAATACGTTGTTTCCATTGGTCAAAGCAAAAGCTGAGTAAGATCTTTCCAGAAATGAATAAATCTTTCCTGCATGTGAACATTGTGGGCTTTCACCTGCATCACTAGCTCATTCCTTCATGTATGTTTGGGGCGTGTGTGTGGACAGGGGTTCGTGTGTGCTGCATGTTGTAGGATGCTGCTATACTGGAACATAAAGACAATAAATATAGAAATAAAAGGAAGATTATTCTATTTGAAATATGTTTTCCCCTTAATTCACAGAATCAGATGATGAAGAGGAGGAGGAAGAGGAGGCTGAGGAGGGGTTGGATGAAGAGGCTCAGCTGATGGCCAGCATGGGTCTGCCTCTGGCCTTCATCAGCTCCTCTGCCCGGAGGAGAGCAGTAAGTCTGAGCACCGCGTCTCTGTGGTGTGATGATGTTTTCCCTTCCCCTCATGAAATTGTTAATCGAAGTGAAATATCCTGCTGCTGAATGAGCCTGTTTTTGGTCATGTGACAGCGGAGGAGGTCGAACAGGAAGCCTGACACGTACTCTGCAGAATCTGCTGAAGAGGAGGAGGAAGGAGAAGAAGAAGAGGTTGACATCAAAGGTAATCATTATTTACAGATACGCACAGAACAGGTTACTGAGTGAGTAAAGGTAGTTATTAACCTGTGCAGTGATCGTGTTCCCATTCATCCAACTGCGGTCTAAGCAAGTCTGGCTCAGCACCAGTCTGAGTCTCCTCCTGCCAGAGACCAATCAGGAGCATCAGTGAAATCACTGCTTAAAACTCACCTGAAACTCACCCAGTGATTTTAATTTTATTCATACGCGTCTATTATTATTTGTGATGTCATTTGACACTGCCCTGTCCTTTTTGACCCAGCTGACGAGAAGGAAGTGAGTGATCCACTGGAGGAAGGAGCAGCAGGGATCCAGGATGCTGGCTGGGAAAACTACTGGGGTAAGACATGATAATAACAATGAAGTGAAAACACCTGTACAGTGTATAACTGTGCACTCAACACAATGACATTTATAGTTTTCCCTCATGTTTCTGACATTGTTTCTTAGAGGTAATAATATAAATCTGAAGCTGAAATGACCCTGCAGCCTCATATGGAGAGCAGAGTAATGCATGAGGATTAATGCATGCACGAGGCTGAAGCCCCTTACACACCTCATTAACACCACTTTCCCAGTTCTGCCTCAGTGTACTGGGACAACACTGACACTTTTTTTCTCCAAGTGAGGAAACAGAGCTTTTTAGCTTTTTATTATTAGCGCTATTTTTGTTTTTCTTGCTGTCGTTGCTCAGGGAGATGCATCGCTGTCTCGTTTTTTAACAATGACAACAAAGATACTTGGCTTGACATCACTAAAGCATGTGTTGTGCAGGTGCCAATAAAAACAAATGGAGAGTGGTCACCGGGATTTAAGGTGTATTGATTGATTGACGACGTCAACTCATGCATTGAGTAACAAAACATTCCACCTTAAAAGTTCTCGGTAGCCCCTGAGCAGCACAGTGAATTAAATGCTTTTTTTTTCTACCTAATTATCATCAACTAGTAAAGATGAGGAGGCAGAAATCCTCCTTTCATCCATCACTCACTCTTCTGACGTTTCTTTATCTGCCTTTATTAGAGGTTAGCTCTGATACATTTGTATTTTTTTTCCAACCCAGTTTAGATGTAACCACGCCCACTTCCATACTGGTTAGGGATCAAGCAGTCAGTTAGAAAGGAGACGCTCTCTTTTAATCATTTCCTGTAACTGTGTCACATGGTTTCTCCAGCTCCCACCTGATCACAGATTATCATTCTTTCACCCCACAGTCACCAGAATAAATGTTGGATCAGTTTTTCACAGGCCACAGATCTTCAGAACATTCTGACATTAAAAAGTCGTTTTTCAGACAGATCAGGAGGACATGAACTTTATTAGAGACCTGTCTCGGTCTCAGCAGCACAGATCTCTGGTCTCACTGCTGCAGAAGTGTAGAGGGACCTAAACGTACAAGCATGAATTAAACATAACAGAAATAAAACTTGTAGTTTTTGTGTGTAATAATACTACTACTGTTATTATTACTGAAGTGTTTTTGGAGGGAAAACAGAGAGTATCAGACTGATATGATCTTGTTTCAGGTTGATCAGATATAAACTAGCAGATAAAAACAAGCAGCAACATCAGGCGTAAATTCAAACTGTATCTAGTGTTGTATTGTTGTTATGTTCTGACATGAACAAGCAATCGTGACCACGCCCACTCGTCTGAACTGGGTTGGACGACACCGTCACAGGCTTCTGTCGTAATCAGAGAATTCAGTAATGACCCATGGATTGTGGATCGAACCCAGCTGGTCACAAGGTGCACTCGGTTGTGTTGTGCACTATATGTATGGAACATGACACCAGGTGGTTGTACATGGGATTAAAAGCGGTCAGGACCTCAAATATTGAATATTGCCTCTCCATCTTCCTCCACCTGAAGCTCAGCAGGGTGAAGCTCTGCTGTGGAGCAGCTGGCTGGAGAAACATCCAGAGACGGAGCTGCCGTCTGCGGGAGATCCGGGAGCGGTGAGCGCTCCCTGGGACAACTCGGAAACGAAGGCTCTGTGGGACAAACATGCTGCAGACACCTACTACTACTACTGGGAGCAGTATTCATACTGGGCAGCGCAGGGCTGGACCGCTGACCAGTCTGAGCGTACTGGGAACACAGGTGGAGAAGCAGCGGCAGAGGTGATGGACAGAGGCGCAGGGACGCACTCGGACGAATGGAAAGATGGACGGACTGGAGAAGAGGAGGTGAAGGTTCTTCCTGATCTGTTTGGACAGAAGTGCACGTTAGAGTCAGGAGGCGTGTGTGTGACGGACTCAGAGACTCACAGAGAGCGGGTGGAGGCAGAGCTCTGTGATGATCCCTCTGACGGTGGAGACGACCGCAAAAGACCTGCTGCCTCTTCACAGCAGGACACAGCCACACATACAGGTAATAACTGTGTGTGTGTGTGTGTGTGTGTGTGTGTGTGTGTGTGTGTGTGTGTGTGTGTGTCATCCACTGTTTACTCTGCTGTATTATTACACTGCTTTTGATGTTTTAACACAACATTTTCTGAAAATCTCCGATATGATAAATGGCAAGAGTAAGAGCTCAAACCTTTTGATTATTACCTTATAAGGGAAACTTCAGTTCAGAATTAGATTCTTGATTATGAAGGAAGCAGATATCTCACGTACTGGCTGTGTCCCAGTTCAGGGCACGAGGGCGTGGCCCTTCGTAGCCGTCGCTGACAGTGAAGGCTGAACTGAAATAGGACGGTCTAGTCTACGGAGAAAAATTCTCCGTAGACTAGACCGTCCTATTTCAGTGTCGCCAGCTGTGCCCGCAAAATGCGGCTCGTGACGCCTAGCAACCTTGACAACGCGCAGCTTGAGGTTTTAAGGCCCTCAGTTTGAACAGCTGTACCGTTAGCTGTTGAACTGAGCTGAAGCCCCATACTTACATATAACAGTGGATGTTTTCACTTTTCATCCAACACACCTGCCAATAAGACTTCCTGTTGTGCCAGAACTTTGCCAAAACTGTTCATGCTAAACTGAAAAAAGAATGGCATATATTAACCCTAACTGAAACATCCATAAAATGAACCTAAATGAAATAGAGATCTGCCAATGAAAAGAGAGAAGAGTCACTGGTTTCTATCTAAATGTAAAATGTGTCAGGTTTGACCCATGTTTTAATGTAATCTTCAGCTATATCTACATGAGACAAGTTTGTGAGATAATAGAAAAACAGTTGAAATACAGTAAGTCAGGAAACTTTAAAAATATAGACATTAAAAGTATATATTTGGGGCGTTGCGTAGCGCAGTGGGTTACGCAGGCGTAGAGGCTACAGTCCTCGCTGCAGCTGGCCCCCGGTTCAACTCCCGCATCGGACGGCCCTTTCCTGCGTGTCATTCCCCCTCTCTCTGCCTCTCTACTGTCCTGTCCATTAAAGGCACAAAAAGCCCAAAAAAATATATATAAAATTTAAAAAAAAAAAGTATATATTTAATGGTGGTTGCTAAGTTTGCATCCTCAGAAATAGAAACTGTAGGCCCAGGTTTAAACAGTTGTAGTGCAGTAACTGTTTAATCAGAAACATCATAATCAGCCTGAAATTGAATGAAACGACAGCTACTGATCAACCTGTAGATACATGTCCAAACAGCTGTGTGTGTGTGTCCAGGTGACCAGGTGACCAGGTGTGGTCTGACCCACGAGCACTGAGTCGTAGTGGCCACTGACTGTCAGGCTGAAACGGTTCTAATAGTCCAGGTTGAGGTCTTTGATCCTCATAAAAGTCTGAAATTAAAATAAAGGAAAATAAGATCTTAAATGTCTTATATTCACCATAAATGTGTTGTAGGTATTGCATTTGCAGATAGTGTGTTTAAGACTGGTAGAAAAAACAAAGCCAATAATGATAAATAAAAATACATAATTATGCTGTTGTCGATTTGTTAACAGACACAAATTTGTTTTTAAGATACGGTCATTCCGACACACTACAGGACACTAACATAATAGTTTGGCATAAAACCACAGTCTACAGGTCCACAGGCAGATGAATGGATCATTTTTAGTGAGAAAAGAAAAAGAAATTGTGCACAGGGATTTTAAAAAGTCTGTACTACAAAACACTAAAAGCATTTTGTTTTCCCTCTGATTGTCTAAAAATGAATATGAAATTCTGTAGTAGGATGAAAATGTTTTGCATCTTTCATTGTTGAGTATTTTTGTCAAGTATGTGCGGTTGAACTTCCACGACGAGCGTGCACTGAACTTTCCACTCTATTTTAAAACATTGATTACAGAATAAAAACAAAAGTCTGAGTAAAAGAAATCATTTTGACATTGTTCGGATCTTAATTTTCATTCATTGAGGTCTTTAAAAGGTCTTAAAAAGCACTGATTCACATTTTTTAAAATGGTGCAGGAACCCTGTATTCACAGGCAAAATCACATCTGTGTTGAGCCATTAATGTAGTAAATTTATTTCAGACTTAACATCACATATCATGGTGGTAATAATTGTGTTAGAATCATGCAGATCAATTTAATGTGTCTTTGCGTGTTGTGTTTTTCACTCAGATTCCCAGCATGCTCCTGACAGCTCTAACCGACAGTGCGGCTCAACAAGTAACATGTCAAACAGAGGTGACGATGATGATGATGATGATGATGATGACAAACCTCCAGGAGGACGACGTGCTAAAATGAAACGCAGGTGAGTTTCTGCCGCACAAAACTGCTGCTACATAAAGTCAGGAGGAGGAGGAGTATAAAAACACTCAGCGTGCTGTTGTTTGTATGTCTGTCCATCGTTGCTGCTTATCGCACACTGTGCGGAAATAAAAAGATGTTGAGGGAAAAATAAAAGTGTGACGCACAAATGTTTGTGTGGAGCTGTTGAGCTGCATTTCCTCACACGGAGAGGTGTTTTCTGTTAAATATCCTTCCTTCAGTGACATGAATGGGGTGGACAAGCAGCAGGTGTCCATAGACTTAATGCAGCAGTGGTTTTGTGTTGGTATATGTAACAGGGTTCAGTCTGCGCCCGAGTCTGCAGTTTACAAAACCCTGTTCAATCTCTTTTTCAACATAACAGTCTGTCTCTGCGTTGTGTAGAAGATCATGTTGAAGTAACAGCTGACTGCTCGACTCCCAACAAAGAGACACAGACTTCTTTGTTTTTCTCGAGGATCTGAGGGATAAAAAAGTCTCAATAAAACTATTCAATGTAAAGGAAAACCATAATCAAAGGAAACTTAAACACTAATGAGTGAACTGTAAATATATGAATCATATGGCCAACAGTCTGACTCTAATCAGGATCAAAAATCTATTGTAAATCATATAAAGACACAATTAATACACATAGATAATCATTCTGTAAGTCAATATGATTTCTTTCTCTCTGATAGGATTTACATGAATATATGAATATTTACAGATCTTCATTTACAGTCACACACTCACCTGGAGGATTCAAGCCCAGTCTGACTTGTTCCCTGGGTAATGGACTTTATATAGTTGTATCGTTACCTTGGTAACCTAGCACTAAATATGAAATATAAAATAACAAATATAACAACGACACATCATGTACGCTTTAAAACGAACAAATGAAAATAAAATTACTGACAAAATTTAATTCTGTATTATAAGATTTTGCTATTGGATATAGTGACAATCTAAAGCTCACATTATGTTTTTAATGCAACATGCTAGAGACACACGTTACACATATCAGTTATCAGTAGCGTTGTTCCGATACCGATACCAATAATCTGTATCAGTATCCACCCTGAAAGAAACCGTATCTGTCGACCTCCTGTCTGACACTGTGTAAAAATCTGGTTACCATAGTTACCAGATTATACTTGAAACTACGTAGCAAACATATCTCTGGAGAACAAAAAAAAAATTGAAATTCTGTGAGCTTTAAAATAATCTTGGCTCAGTGGTCCTGATGAGAGTTCCTTCAGTGAGTGAGTCTCTGTAACCGACGTCTCACAGGAAACAGGAAAAATAAACATCTGTAAGAAAATGTCACGTTTGTCCCGCGGGCCGAACGTGTAGAGGAGATGTAGATCGTATTTCAATCTTTGTGTTGGTCGTGCAGTCATGAGCTGGATGTGGAGGAGAGCCCACAGCTGACACCTGAGGAGGCCTGGACTAAACTGGGACTCAAACGCAACCCGGACCCCCGGTGAGTCTCACACGACGATCATCACACACAGCTCTCAGCATCACACAACCCCACCCGCATCCTTCAGGTGAAGCAGGCCTCTACACAGCAGTTTAATAAACCGAACATTAGAACCATGAAGGAAGGATTTATTACAGCTGACACGTGTCTGCCTCTCTCCACAAAACTTGATTAAACTGTTGAGTAAATGAACACGTCCTCAGGTTTCCTCCAGCGCCAGACTCACACTGAACTTCACTTCACTTCTCCAGCTCTTAAAGCAGGTTTTTCCATATTTCGGGATTTGGACTGAAATCATTTTTCCAAAATCAAAATGTAGATGTTTGCTCAAAAACATGAAGGGCATTATTTTCATATGAGCCATTGTGAGCGTGTGTGTGTGTCTCTGGATGAGCTTTGTGTGTGTGTCTCAGGTTCAGCAGCGTGGTGAGCTTTAAGGGCGGCGCTGGTCAGAAGCGTCAGAGGCAGTGGTGGACTAAGAGGGCAGTCGGCAAACACACCAGGTTCTCCGAGACAGGAAGTGACATCACGCAGCCACAGATCAGCTCCTCCCTCCACAAGGTACCACCTGTAACTGATGGAAAGTTTACTCTGTCTGTAGGACTGAGGACAGAGGACGGACATGACATGAATCAATCTTTTCATTGAGATGTTCTGTACATTCTTGATGTTCTTTATGTTTTTTATGTTTACACACACCAAACAACATTAAATGTAATAAATAAAACAATAAAAAAAAGAGGGGCAGAGAGACCTACTTCTGCTTCTTGGATACAAATTCGTGTTGGAAGTAAATGAGAAATGGCTGTTAGACTTTTGAGTACTTCTTCACTGAGCCTCTTGTAGCATATTTCAGTTTTTCTAGCTTCAGATATGCCATAACACTCTCTACCCGTTGGGAATGTGCTGGAGGTTTGTTAGACTTCCACTGTGACAATATTGGCCTCCCTGCCATTAGTGAGGGAAAGGTAAGTGCATCAACCTGAGCATGTGACAGTGAAGCTTCCTGTAGGTGCTACCCCAAACATTGCAATTGCTGGATCTGGTTATACTTCTTTCTGACAGACCCATGAAAAGGTCTCAAAAATAGCCGCCCAAGAATGGAGCCAGCGTCGGGCCAGTCCAGGACACGTGATAAAGGGAGCAAGAAGGTGTCTGTTCCTGGGAACGTCCTGGCAAGTCTGCTTTTAGAGAGATGGAGTCTGTATTATTTTAAATCGTAGTAACTCCACGTTTGGAACTGTTCAATCGCAGACTGAAACGAACATCCTCTGAGAATTTAGCTCCAAAGTCTTTACAGCTCCTAGAGACGATTCAAAGCAGGGGATGCTACCCTTTGAATGGCGTAGTACTATTTTGATATCAGACCAGGTTCAGGAGGATCCCACTTATCATGACATGTAGATGAAAAGTGTGGCAGCTGGGAAGAGATGAAACCTCCCTCATGGTTGATCAGATCTGTGACAGAAAATGAAAGTAGTAGGGCGGACTGTAGATTTATTGTTATGAATTTGCATAGAAGACTGATTAAACTGAGACTACGTTTACTTCACAGGTCCAGAGCTTCCTGAAAAAGAACCAGATAGAGACACAGATGAGTCAGTGTAACCAGATGGGACGAGGAAGTACGCAGGAACCTGAGCACCTGGGAAAAGAGACGGGAGAAGAGGAGAGGAGGAGGAAGAAGGAGATGAAGAGTGCTGAGGAAGAAGAGATTTCTAATTCTCTGTGTAGTTCAGATGCAGACAGGAGGAAGGACCCTCAGCCCAACACCGAGAGGGAGGAGGAGGAGGAGGAGGAGGAGCAGGAGCAGCCTGGTAGACAGTTACCGTGTATAGAAATCCCCGACTTCCTGGTGTGTGATGCACCTGAACACAACAGTGGTGAGCACAGGATTTATCAGATGATCAGATCATATGTGTTTTTAGACACATAAGAGAATCCTGGGACAACTGGTGCAGTCTAATGATGTGCGTGTGTGTGTGTCTGTGTGTGTGTGTGTGTGTGTGTGTGTGTGTGTGTGTGTGCGCGTGCGTGCAGAGCTGAGTGTGAAAGATGGAAAGAAGTCGAAGAAGAAGAAGAAGTATAGAAAGCGAGGGAGGAAGCAGCAGGTCCCAGAGGAGATGGCAGCTGAACCGGAGCTGGCTAAATACTGGGCTCAGCGCTACAGACTCTTCTCTCGCTTCGATGAGGGGATCAGGCTGGACCGAGGTCAGTCTGCACTCTGCATGTGCAAGTGGAGAGAGACACAGAGTTCGCTTCACTGTCGTCAGCAGCACATCGAACACATCTCTGTGAATGACCGGGCTGTTTAAAGCCAGTCGCTGCGTTACTGTTTTGGACTGTGGAGGCTGCTGAGTTAATGAAGTTAACACAAGTCTTTACTAGTTTCAAACCAACATGATTTTCCCGCTCAGTGCCCACGTTGTTTAAATAGCAGATACGCTTGTGTCCATGTGGGCACCCATGGTGTGTTGGTCTTAAAGTGAGGTGTGGTCATGAGCATTGTGGTGCTTTGACATCATGAGGCTGCAGAAAGTGATTGACCAATAAAAACCTGGGGCTGGTTGCACAAAACACCTTACACTTAAGGTCTAATTTCTCCTTAGCTGAGGGAGTTACTTGTGTTGCACAGAATCTCCTTAAAAGGTTTCCTTAGTTAAGGAAAAAAGTGAAGTAATTTACAGCAGTAAAAGACATTTTACAGCATTAAAATTCTACTGTTTCCATGGAGGCCGTTTGTTGGCCGTTATTGATACCTGTTATCACTTTTGGGAAGTGTGCTGTTATCTCATCCTCCTGTTGTTGTGATGGGAACTTTTTTTTCTGGTTTTCCTCATTTATCACCATAAACTCAGTCATGTTGCAGTTAAGACAGAGTCAGAACCACTTTTAGTTTTTTTTCCTTAGTTTGGTCGCTAAGGCCTTTTGTGCAACAGTTTAACTGACTTTAAGTGATTCCTTAAGTATAAGACCAAGATAAAGAGAAAACCTTAAATACTTAAGTGAACATTTTTAAGGAAACCCCGCCCACCACCTGCTGTCTCCAGGTGGACAGGTGAAAGTGCAGAGGGTATGAAGATGGTTAGAGGAGGAAACATCAGAGAGACTCAGCCACATGTTTGAGCCTCAGTCAGACCCAGACTCAGAGGAGGAGTCTGTTGAGACCAGAACCAGAGACTAGCAGACGGATCAGAACGGTTAGCGGAGTTAGCATCTTTTATTTGTTTGTGTTGTTTGCTAGTTTGTAACTGGTAGTGGCTGACACAGTGTTAGTGGTTGTGCTAACGCTAACTCCCTCTCTGTTCTAACAAGGTTTCAGGTTTATTTAGCCCCGCCCCCCATCCCCACAATTTGACAGGATTGGTTCCTTAGATTTGTGACGTATGAAACCCTGGCTGTCTGACTCTGTATTTATGAGACTGTCATTGGTTCACTGCAGTTCAAGGTGGAAACACTCAGTCATGGTGTTGATGATTATTTCACTCATGTGCTGTGTCTTGTGTTATATAAAAGCATCATATGGACATAAATTGATTTTCATCAGAGGGGTCTTTAAGGGTGTTATTGTTTTAAGGAAATCTTAACTTGGACTTTAAGGAAAATCTTACCTTGAGGTGTTTTGTGCAACTGGCCCCAGATCTGTAGTCAGTGTCACAATATTTCACTGTTATTTTAAGGATCCATTATCAAGAGAGTATGCTCTAGGTGGGTGCACAACACGTGTACACGTTACACACAAGCAGAGTGTGAGCATTCTGTGGCGCACAGTATATTGTGTGTTGGACAGAAATGAGGCTCTTCAGAGAAGCTTCTTTCTCACTACCTGGTAAAATCCTCCAGGTTTCCCATTCATCACCTGGACTACATTTATTTACAGTTTCATAACGAACCAAACATTTATTCACACTTCATCTCCACATCACTGACGTTGTATTGTGTGTGTGTAGAGGGCTGGTTCTCTGTGACTCCGGAGAGGATCGCTGAGCACATTGCCCTCAGGGTGGAGCACAGCTTCTGTGGCTGTCAGCTGGTCATAGACGCCTTCTGTGGGGTGGGAGGAAACGCCATCCAGTTCGCCCTCACTGGGAAGAGAGGTGAGCCAAATGTGTGTGTGTGTGTGTGTGTGTGTGTGTGTGTGTGTGTGTGTGTGTGAATATCATTAATAAAACCATTGTTTCACCAGTGTCAGTTTGTCTGGTGCTGATATAGAGTTAGTTTTATAACGTAGACAGAACTGGACTTAGGGTTTGAGTTCAGGACTACCTTTACTGAATGGTGAACCAGATAGATCAGATTTTTCAATCAATTTTTGGATTAGCTGAGAGTTAGGGGCGGAGTCAGACACTGCCAAGATGGCGATGGTAGAGCAGCTCACTCTGAGCTTTAAAACCGCTCTTCAGAAACCTGTGGGTGACGTCACAGAGGCTACATCTTATGCTTTACAAATGAGGACTGACAGATACAGGTGGTCAGTGCTGTGTCACAGGTAGGGAAACAGTCCTCATTCAGAATTAACTGTAATTTTCTTATTTTTCTCTTAAGTAATCAGAAAAAATGTTTTAAAATGTTCCTAAAATTACAAAAAAGACGAGAAGATACATATAACTGAGGTATTTGACATTAATGTAGACATAATGTGACCAAACAGGAGCATGTTTAAAGAAAACGGAGCAGGGCCCAGAATGCTCCCTTGAGGAAATCCATAATTAATGTCACAATAGCTCAGACTAAGAAAAACCATTCAGGCCTCTGAACTGCCCCAGGTTTCCACCCTGACTGTCCAGCGAGTCCTGACAGGGTTCTGGACGTTTCCCAGTGCCTGCGCAGGTATCACAGCTCGGTGTTTCTCTTGTTGTCTGTCGAACCCTCAGTTCTGGCTGTCGACATCGACCCGGTGCGGCTGGACTTGGCGCGGCACAACGCCGCAGTTTACGGCGTGGCCGATCAGATTGAATTCCTGCAGGGAGACTTCCTGCAGCTGGCGTCCCGTCTGCGTGGTGATGTGGTCTTCCTGTCACCGCCATGGGGAGGACCGGACTACCTGACCGCTGAGGTGTTTGACATCAGGACCATGATGGAGCCTGATGGATATCCTTTGATGTGGGAGCAGGGGTTAGGTTGGGGTTAGGGGTACAGTCACAGTGTGTCCTCTGTGACTCGAAAACATTTCTAAAGATCACTAATCAATACATGATATTTAGTTTATTCGAACATTAACATTACCCTGGTGTGGTTAGAGGTGAAACAGACAGGGCTATCTATCTGTAGTAGTGTCTGTATCTGTAGTGTTGTCAAAGCTGAATAGAACATAAGAGTGTCTACTCTCTGCTTGTTTTTGTAAATTAGACTGTTATTATAAAACTTTGGTTTTCATCCTTAACAGTTTCCACATTTGAGATTTTCCGTCTGGCCAAACTGATATCAGACAACATCGTGTACTTCCTGCCTCGCAATGCTGACATGGATCAGGTCTGTATGTTCACTGTGTGTGTGTGTGTGTGTGTGTGTGTGTGTGTTGGTGTGTGAGGGGTGGACATGACATCAGTTCATTATCATTCACTCTGTGATATCTGCCAGGTAACAGAGCACACGATGAAGAATGTTTTAAAATAGACTAGTGTTACACTGCAGTCCATAAAACAGTCTGAATGTGACGTGGGAGCAGGTACACTGAGGCCCACACAGGTGCAGACATCTGGGCAGTTCAGGTTCTCTGACATTATTATTTTATCAAATCTGGTGTGGCAGTGTTTTTATCTAATTCAATCAATTTATTGGTGGCAAAAAAATATGTTATAAGAACATCTAATATAAGATTTTCAAGGTTTGGTTCGATGAATCTGAAGCTAACACACTATACAGGTACAAACGTTGTACTGCTGACATACTGGAGGATTTACCACATTCATTAGCTGCTAACAGAAACTGCTAGAGCAGCACCAGCTGACAGGTTTGCAGTGAATCTGGAGCAGACTGAGAATGTGTGAACCAAATACGGGGTCATGTTTTGGTGAGATGTAGTGTTCTTAGAGAAATGACACCAAACAAAAAAAAAAAGATGTGTCCCAGTTCAGAGGCCCCAATCCTTCAGAGGATGTGGTCTACAAAGGTGTGGCCCCGCTTAGCCGACGTAGATCGTGAAGCCCAAACTGAAATGAGATGGTCTGGTCTACGGAGGATTTTTGCTTTACTTCACCAGCTGTGGCAGGCTTTACCGCTGCGTCGAAAAGCACCTCTCCTGTTGTTTGATCCATGTAACTTTTTTACAGAAACTTTACAGAGGTTTTCTTCTGGAACTTTGTGATGTCACAACAAAGCAGTCACCAATCAGAAGAGAGGAGGCTCTGAGCCTCTCTTCTGATTGGCTCACTGACCTGTTGTTACTAGAGCTCCAGAGAGAAGCCTGAGAGAGGAGATGTGAAACTGAATTGAGATGGGTTTTGGTTCTCAACACTTCAAATAAAACACAGGAGAAGAGGAAAATATGGAGCGTTAACATTATTGACCACCACCTGTAACTGATTCCCCCCCTGTCTCTCCACAGGTGGCCTCTCTGGCTGGTCCAGGAGGGAAGGTGGAGGTAGAGCAGAACCTCCTCAACAACAAGCTGAAGACAGTCACAGCTTACTTTGGCAGCTTGATAAATTCAGACAGTTAATGACCCTGAGAGGTGTGGACCACCAAACAGAGAATGGAACTAAATCGAATCTATTACTCTCTTTCTACTCAGACCCATCATCTTTTATTCACTCCAGGGATCCATTCAAGCACTAAGAAGCAGTTTGACTTTCTTTTTGTAATTTAAATAATGTCAGACTGAATCAGATGATCAGAGGTTACAGTGTCTGAGCAGCCTCCATGTCTGAGTTTGTGCAGTTTATGAATCCCTCAGATTAAATTAACACTTGTGTTTTACAACAATTCATATTTTATCCTTTTTTATTGTACATTAGAACCAATAAATGTTTTTTTCAAAAAAGTGTTTGTGCTCATCGTCATTGTTATAAGAAAACATGTCTGGTTTCATTTTCAGGATCAGGATCAGGATTAGGTTTATCTGGTTAACCTGAACAACAACAGAAGCATTGAATTACATGATGAGAAGACACCTTAAAAATACTATATGGCTTCATGTTGCAGTTATACTCAGAGGCACAGTCAGGAGAGGCAAACCAGACATATGCTTTGGGCCCCCAAGGGAAAAAGGGCCCCTGATGGCCCCTCATATTGACACATTTTGCAATGACACCCCCCTAAATGGAGCCCCTGATGATGTGAGCTGTAGCTAGAGTCTACCCATGGCCTGCACGTGAGTCGTTCAAGGGACATCTGTAAATTGTAGCGTCTACCGATAGTCTGCGTGTGAGGCGTGTAGGGACCATCTGTAAATTGTAGCATTGTAGTCTGCATGTCAGTCTGGATTGTGATGAGATTAAATTAACTGAATGGGTCAAATGCAGTTACATACAGCAGAATATTTGATAAAACTTTGATTTGCAAAGGTAACATCTTACACAGTAATAACTTTGGGACATAAAGCAAGTGATTTCATTTGTTAAAAAAACAAAACAATTAAATAATTCCCATTGTGATGCAGTCAGCACCATGGACCATCTCTGATGTACCGTCATACACATGACAGTGACTTATAGACAGGAATTCAAAACAGCACATTGATTTAGGAATTAAGGGTACAACTGGTGTCTGGGTGCTGCTGCAGAATCCTGGTTCTAGTACTTTTCAGAAAGGAGGGAAAAAGAAAAGAGGAAGTTAAAGAGATGGTTAGCAGGGTGAGACACTCGCTCCAGGCCTGTGATTTTTGATTCAGTATGTTTCCTGTCTAGTGCTGAGGTGTTTCCACACCACACAAGTGAGGATGTCCAGCACCATCACACCTTCCCATGATATGGAAAGATTTTTCAGCTGTCTTAAAAAGAAAATTCTTTGTAGTGTTGACTTCCCACTTTAAAGAAGAGGAGTTCTCCACCTGTTGAGCTTCCTGATAATGTATGAAGAAAGGTCGATAGCTGCTGTGTCTAATGGAAATCCACTTTTTCTTTTTTTGGCTGCTCCACCAGGGATGAAACCTTGTTTCTTTTAGCTGTGTCATTACTTCCACCAAGGAGGTTATGTTTTCACGTCTGTCTGTCGGTTTGTCAGCAGGATTACACAAACAATACTGGACTGATTTGTACTAAACCTGGTGGAGGGATGGATCATGGTCCAGGGAACAACCCATTACATTTTGGTGCAGATCCAGAATTTTAACATTGAGATAGAACATTTTTCACACATTCATCAGTTTCTCAGGAAATAAAGTTAAAAAATGTGACAAATTAATGGTCTTTGAGTTTGTACAATTTGGTGCAGATCTGGAGCCAGATAATAATGTGGATCTGACAGACGGGACAGATTGTTTGGCCGTGGTGGAGGGATATGCTTTACAGAGAGCCATTCATAGTTTATTGTTAGAGATTAATTCTACTAATGTCATCAGCAGGAGAATGAAACAGTTGAACAGACTAACAGTGGGACATACAGTCCACATCACTGTGGGGCACCAGTGATAATAACCTCTGACCACCTGCTCCCTCCCCTACAGTAAGTCTGAGATCCACTGACACCTGAGCATATGGACTCCCAGTCAGAAAAGTTCATCATGCAAACCTGAATGGTTAAAAACACTGAGCTGTAATCAACATTAGCTACACAGGAGGTTCCTCATCTCATGTCCAGTAATTAAACATGGAGGCAGAGCAGGAGCTGATGGGGATCGACGCAGTGGGACCAAGATGATCTCAGAAAATCTCATTCTTGTAAATAAGTAGTTCTTTTCTCAAGCTCACATGGCATCAAATCACCCAACACCTTGTCATGCACTGAAACCACAGGATGAGGACTCAATAGCACAACTCTGACACAAGAAGTGAATGAAAAGAAACATGAAGAAGCTGGACATGAGGTGAAGTAGAGAAGAAGAGAACATAGAAGAAGCAGTGTAAGACTTCTGCTTAACATAGAAGTAGAGGAGAAAAAATATTAAATACGTTTCTGATAGATACAGAGAAAGTTAAACATCAGCTCCAGGTGAACATCATAAACAACTTGATCTACATATCCAATAAATAAATAAATAGAGGTAAAATGCTCATCCAGGTGGAGAGAGAAGCTGTGGGTGTTCACTGGATCTGTTTTAACCCTGTTCATGTCATTAACCTGGAAATCACAGGTGTGATCTCTTCTGTTGTATTGAGGTTGGACTTTGAAGTCTGTATTTTCATTGTAGTCAGTCTACCCTGTTTTCAATAACAGAATCAGATCAAATATCAACACTTCAACTTCAAAATAAAACATTTACTTTACAGACACAAAGGTGCATGTTGTTCAGGTTGAACACCTGAGAGCCTCAAAAGCATCAGCTGACAACCAATATCCTGAACTTTAATCAATGCTGATCTATTTTTCTATAGTTTAGATAGATGAAATCTGGTAAAAACAAACAAAATAACAAAAACATTCCATTTCATTAACTGTTAACAAGGTTATTGCATACAAAGTTAGTTATGGAGTTCCACAGGGTTCTGTGCAAGGACCCATACGTTTCACCTTATGTATGCTATATGCAGATGACACCTAGCTATATTTATCTATGAAGCCTGGTCAAACTTCAGCATGTCTTAAGGACATAAAGAACTGGGTGACCTGGAATTCTTTACTTCTTAATTCAGACAAAACTGAAGTTATTGTACTTGGCCCTAAACACCTCAGAGACACACTATCTGATAATATACTTACTCTTGATGGCATTACCTCAGGCTCCAGTGCTACAGTAAAAAAACTTGGGGTAATTTTTGACCAGGACGTCTTTTACTTCAAACATAAAACAAGTCTCTAGGACAGCCTTCTTCCACCTGCGCAATATTCTGAATCAGAAACATCCTGTCTCTAAAGGATGCTGAAAATCTAGTGCTTGCATGTGTTACTGCTAGACTGGACTACTGTTAATTCTTTATTATCAGGATGTTCCAATAACTCAGTGAGAAGCCTCCAGCTGATTCAAATGTTACAGGGTGAGTACTGACAGGAACTAGAAGAAACATGTGTGCTAAAAGTCCTGGCCTGAAGACATATACATGCGAATATTCAATTACAATTCATTCCAGTTACATACTGACCTGCAGGTTGACCACACCCACCTCAAACTTGGTCAGAAAATGCTTAAGACCTTGATGATGCGTCAATGTGAAACTGTGACTTTTGGTTGACTGTGGCAACGTGACAAATTTCGATGTTTTGCCATGAAACAGAAAGTTGTTAGAATACATTGTCCAATCTGCCTCACACTTCACGTTTGATGACAGTCCCACACTTAAGACATCTGCATGCAGTTGAAGTTATAGTCATAACTTCAAGTTATGAAGTTATAGTCATAGTGCCACCTTCTGAAAACAGGAAATAACCCTTGAGAGACAATCATCAATCATCCCTGGATCCAGTCATGTGTGGTCAAAAATCTAACAATAGCCAGTGTAAGATTTAAACTCATATTTTACTGTTCTTTCCAAGAGGAAGCATCATTTTTTCAAGACAATGAGAAAAGCACAAAGAATGAGAAATCAGCTATAAAAACAAGAACAGTTTGGCAAAGTTTTATACATATAACATGAAGAAAAAACAACGTGATGCTACAGTGGCTTATCAAACAGAAGTGTGTGTGTCATTCAGTGTCAAACAGCATGCCATTACTCTGCAGTGCAGTCAAAAGAATACAAATGCAATACAATCAAATGTCAGGATGTACGCTGTAGTTTTATATGTGGGTAACAAACATTCTCTTCCAGAAACATCATCATCATAAAAATCAAATATGTAGCTCAGGTTCTTAAAGGACAGATATGAGAAGGATCCTGAACTCAGAGTCCTGTCAGTCCACCTTAAGAGTTTGACAGGATTTTGTGTTGGAGGAAGCTGATCTCAGTCCTCAGTAAAGAAAACCTATGACAAACCTATCAAACACTGGTGAACGTCTCTGTTAGCTGGAAATGGAGAGACTCTCTGTAGCCGGGAAGTTTTAATTCCTACCTTCCTGCCAACAGAGGCTGGTTATTCTGTGATTACTTTGTGCATTTTGGGAAGTTTCTTGTTTTGCTTGTTGCCGTCTTGTACAGAATTAGACAAGATGATCAGTGTAGTATCTCTCTGAATTTCATCATCTGTCATCCAATACAGAAATACACCCAGGATATTTAGCCTAGCATAGGATATAGCATAGCATTCTTTTTCCTGACTATCATGGCTGGCTGCTGTAGTAACAGATTGGACGCTACTCTGCTGCCTGTCAGTGACCAAATCAGTAACTATGCTTCAAAACTGTGGAACACCCTGCTAAGAACTATAAGAGCTGTGGGGTCTTGGCTTTTAATTAATTCTCTCATATTCTTACTGGTTTTTGTTTTTTTTATTTACATAATTTATCATCAACTGTCTTTCTGTCTAATTTCACAACACTTTGAGCTATATCTCTTGTATGAAAAATGCTCTTTAAATGTTTATCTTTACAATTATTATTATTATTATCACCATCTCCCCACAGAGACACACAATTCTATCACATACACTGTTCTTATTGCAGGTACTAATTATTTTCCACAGCGTGTCTTCACTGCAGAACAACCAAGTTAACATGTTTTTTATACTTATCTCCTAAAACTGTGCAAACATACTTTGTTTGAAATATACTGAAATTATGTAATTTATTTTGTTCCAAAGTTGTTTCCTGTTTCTGTCACAGACTCTCACTAAAACAACAAGAACAGCTGTGTCCCTTTTGGATTTGGTCTTGAATTGATCTCAGAGCTGCTTGGATGTGGACTCATCTCAGAACTGAGAGTGGCTCAGATTACAGGCCTGTTTCCAACAACTCCAAGCTGTTTTTCATACATTATGTTGTGTAGAAAAAAGACATCATGGTTGTAAGTGCCATTAGTGTGAACGTCCGGTCCTCATTGTGGTTTCAGGTTTGAGCCCTGTCTCATCTCTTCTGTCTTAGATGGAGCCTCCTCACTAACAGACAAAGAGTAACTCAGACAGCTGTGGAGTTGTTGGAAGCTGCATTGGTTCACTTGAGATGGAGCTCGGCTAACAGTTTCCCCTTGCTTTCAGTCTTAGTGCTATGCTAGGCTAAACTCATTCCCCATCTGTCCCTGCAGCGGACGCACCAAGTTAAACTTCATCTTGTCGAACTCTGGGTCAGACAGCAGAAGAATTTCAAGATTTTGCAATATGTTGAGGTGTGTGGAATCACTTGTAGATGTTTTTGCATTATTGTAAACACTGACATTTCTAACATAAGACAACCTCTGCCTCAGAAATCTGACAAAGACAAACCAGCGAGTGGAGCTCTAGTGGACTGACAGGACTCGGTTCATTCTGCAACAGTTGAACTCAGCCTGAAGTCATTTGGCAGCAAAAACAGTTAAAACAAAAGATTGAGTCATTAAGACACTGTCAGATATGTAGATGCAAAAATAAATACAAGTGTGACGTTTCATTTTCTCCCTGGTTCTTAGTCCAAATGATGCAGACAACGTCATGGCTACATCTCCTTTACAGGCAGGCCAGTACACAAACACACGCACGCACGCACGCGCACACGCACACGCACACACACACACACAAACACAAACACACACACACACACACACACACACACACACACACACACACTCACACGTCTTCAGGCTGAAATTAAACTTTACTGACATGAATAGAAAATAAAGCAAATGATTAAACATGAGATTTAATATAAAAAAGCTGGAGTTATTGAGCGTTGCTACAGAGGTGGAGAATTATTGGGATTCATGGATTAATAATTATTACCATTAATGCATCATTGTCTAATCTGAAATACCAGCATGTCATACAGAGGCATAAAGTTATGAACTTATAAAAATAAATAAATAATGTAAAAACCTTAAAAAAATATATGACTTAAATAATAAATATAAATAAATGAACAAATTGCACAAATTAAACTGAACTCAGATAAAAAAAAATGTATACATATGTATGGTAAAAAAAAAAGTAAAACCTGATGAACAAACTCACTCATCATGGCACTGTCCTCTACACCACCTGAAGCCTGTCACCCTGTCCGTTGTAAATAAAGTTAAAACAAACCGCTCCACACCTCCACATGGGCTCTGCCAGGCAGTGCTGCGCCCTGTGCTTTAAAACCCACGCTGCGATGCCATGGTGTCCGCTGTCCATAAAGTTTTTAAATAAACCGCTCGGCACATTCTCCAGATTCCCCCGGGGAGGAGGGGGGGGGGGGTGTCACCTCACTAATACGCCCTATGCTGAGAAAACTAACATACATCCTAACGTCAGCTGTCCGTGTCGCAGCGGCGGCCTCAGATGAACCACTCCTTCTTGCTCTCGTCGATGGTCTCGGTGAAGGCGGGGTCGTTGACGATGATCGCAGCGTCGGCGCAGTCTGCTGACTCCGCCCCCTTGGCCTCGTTAGTGTGGTAGGAGCCTTTATGACGGAACATGTGGCGGATCACGAACACCATGATGCAGAGGACAGTGAAGATCACCATGGAGATGATGCCTGGAAACACAACAGGTGAGCAGTTAAGAGTGGTCAGTACTGACGCAGCAGAGGCGACTTGTCCTGACTGTTAGTCCCTAAGAGACTGTAGGTCACATTCCATAACTCACGGAGCACTTCCTGTTTCCTCCCTCAGCTCATTTACACCAGTTTCTCTGTTCACACTCATTGAGATGGTTGAACAAGTCTTCATCTTGCCCTCTGGATCTGTTCCCTGCAAGACTAGGTCTAAACGTAATCTATGTCTTGACCTGTGGTCAAATCCTGATTTTATAACTGTGACACCGTCTGACAAAATCACCAAAGACATAAATGAAAGACAAAGACTGAGCTGTGATTTACTGTAACATGATCACTCACAGAGAAAGGTAGAAGAGGCACAATATCTTTCTTTGCTTACAGTTGTTTTTTCAGGCTTTTGCCTTTATTACAGTCATAGTGAGAGAGAGAGAGAGAGAAAGAGAGAGGATGACACGCAGCAAAGGGCCACAGGCCGGACTTATGTAATGAAAGTAGTTTATTGCTGTAATGGAGGCGAGGCTCAGTTTACTAAAGTGGTTGTACGATGTTAACCATGTCTGATTGTCCTGTCATCACCCTGTGAAATTGCCGATAGCCAATATGATCGTAGTGGTGGTAGTGCGGTGGGCGTTACGTTACCCTATGAGTGAGAGAGAAAGAGGAGTGACCAAAAAACCGAATGTGTCCCGCTATGCTGTCTCATATCGCTCTCTCTCTCTCTTTGATGGATAACTTTAGCGACAGCAGTGTGACAGTAAGATGACAAATACATTTCATGGCTATATTAATGTCATCACATATAATGTGTCTCTCTCATTGACTGTCCAGAAGTTCTATTCAACACAATAAAGAGAAGCAGAATCAGAAACTGAAAATGAACTGTGTCCATTTCCTCCACTCTCAATTCACCGCAGCTCCCACACAACAAACAGCTTCATAACAATCATCTGATTGAAGTGTGTGTGTGTGCGCGTGTTGCAAGCGTCAGAAATATGGGATTATATACGCAAAACTGTGGTGGGGCAAATTAAATTTAATATCACTTTAATACTACAAATAATAAGTAACTACATTACTGGGAAAACAAGTCAAATATTGCCTTGACATTTGCAAAGACATGAGCAATCTGCAATGGATCTGATGATCGTCGATCACTGTTATCATCATTCATCGGCACAACCTTCTACTGGAAGCGCTCCTCCTTTTCCTTGTAGTTTCTGAGCAGGGAAACCAGAGCAGCTTGGTAGACTTCAGCTCAGCACTCCGCTGACCAGTGGTGGAAATATCATCAGTCAGTCAGTCAGTCTTTGGCTGGACCGCAACTACCAACTTGGATCCCGCCACTCTGCAGAGCTACAGACCCGTCTCTAAACGTCCATTTTTGTCTAAAAGCCTAGAAAAAGTTGTGTCCAAACAGTTACTAGGACATTTAACAAATAATAATATAATATATATAATTATAATATAATAATCCAACGATAATATTCCAGACCAGTACCTTGGCACTGAGACAGCTCTTCTGAAAGTTTGCAATGACTATTTATTGGCTGAAGATGCAGGTGATTGCTGCATCTTAGTTCTTTTAGACCTCAGCGCTTCTTTCTACACAGTAGATCATAACATACTCCTTGACAGACTGGACAAGTGAGCAGGAACTCACTCTATAGTGTCCCCCAAGGTTCAATCTTGGGTCCCATTTTATTTTCCATTTATATGCTCCCTCTTGGCGACATCATCCGTAAATATAATGTCCAGTTTCACTGCTATGCCGATGACACACAACTTTATCTATCAATCAGACCTGGTGACTAGGTTCAACATAACAATCCTCCACAACTGTCTTACCGGAATAAAATACTGGATGTCAGAAAACTTGAGGTCATTGTACTTGGTCCATCCGCAAAAAGAACTCAAATCATAGAAAACCTAGGTGAATTAACAAATGACATTAAGTCCTCAGCCAAAAATCTTAGCTATTTCCATCATCTGCCTCTCAGTTGGAAATGGCTCCCTGCGGCCTGATACAGCAGGCAGCACAAGTTGAATGTAAAAAAAAGTATTTCCATTTTAATTTTGCGAAATATTATTTGTTGAATAGTAACATTTTTTTTTTATTTTTTCGAGAAATGCACGTGTTTTTATTATTTGTTTTTAAGTTCGCAAATTGAGCATTTAGCAGGTAAATGGAAACACACCTACTGTCTGTATTACATTAAAAGCAAATAACTATTGTAGAAGTAGAAGTTTTTGGCACAACCTCACCTACTGCCAAGGTACATGGAGAGAGGAAAAACTTCAGCAAGACCTTCAACTGTTTATTGCAAGTTTTTAAAAGATATTTTTTGGGCAGATTTTTTAAGTCAAAAATTACCCAAAAAATAACTTTAGAAAACTAGAATCAACTCCTCGTGGTTGTATCCCTCCTCCACTCAGACCATGAACCATTTGTGTGAAATTTTGTCATAATTGCTGAGTAATGGCTAAAAAGTGTTTTGTGAGGTCACACTGACCTTGACCTTTGATCTTTAACCACCATCTATCTAGTCTAATGAGTTCATCCTTGAGTCCAAGTAAACATTTGTGCCAAAGTTGAAGAACGGACAGACGTGGACAACCTGAAAACAATATGCCTCCTTCTCTGGCATAAAAAGAAACTGACTGAACTCTGAAAGCAGCACAGCAGAGTGCACTCCGCAGCAGTGCTGACTCAGCATCCTGCCTCTCCACACAGAACAACAATTTGACCTTGTTCTGATGAATCTCTCTCTCCTGTAGCTTCAGACTTTGAAGTTGTCTGCAATTAAGCATTTTCCTTTGTTTCTTTGTCCAGCTGTATGCTGTTAGCTTTTTGATGGATGTTCAGTTCTGTTTCAAGGTTACCTCTGTGTCTGCTCCTCTCTGACTGTCAGACTAAAAGATCTGCCTCTGCTGATGGAAACAGTATTCTGTGTGGGGTGTCTGGTAGCTGGAAGTTAGACAAGTTTTACCTCCAATTATAGCAGAGTTGCGATCCACTCCATCACCACTGGCTTTGTCCTCATTGAAGGGGAAAACAGCTCCAGCTGTGGACAAAGTAAACATCTGTTATGTGTTTGAATTCTGATATAAACTCCGCATTCTGTTAGATTCTGATTTGACATGTCCTCATGTTCCTTGAAACTGTGTCTTTACCAAACTCCATGTGCCAGGGGTCACTGGCTGAGGCCATGGGGGAGATGGTCAGGGGTGAGGCTCCACAGTTGGATGGGACTAGAATGCCGTGGGTGGTGACGGGCGCTGCCAGACCCGAGCGCAATGCAGCTTTCAGTGGAGATACGCTGTTAAACTGAACTCTTGACAGACAGCCCACAAAGCCTGGAGTGTTGTAGCGCTCGATCAGGATGGGGTCGATCTGTCCGGTCTCTACAGGACAGAGCAGATCACGCAGTGAGTGAGTGTTCTCAACACATCTGTTTATATCATAATTTATAAAACAAACTAGATTCACCTCCTGGTGTTTGTCTGCCTCCTCCACTCAGACTAGTTTCAGGTTACATTCTGTTTATCCAGAGTCATTAAAATATGAACCATCTGTGTGAAATTTTGTCATAATTGCTGTCTTGAGTCTTGAGTAATGGCTAAGAAGTGTTTTGTGAGGGCACACCGACCTTTGACCTTTGACCACTAAAATCTAATCAGTTCACCCTTGAATCCAAGTGAACGTTTGTGCCAAATTTGAAGAAGTTCCGTGAAGGTGTTATATCATGTCCACGAGAATGGGCCAGATGGACAACCCGAAAACAGTATGCTTCTGGCTCTGACTGTCGCCGGTGCTGATGAATAAAAATAAATCAATATCTTCAAATGATACTTTACATTATTAGAAGAATTTATTTTATTGTATGTAAAATAGTTTAAAGTGTAGCAAAGCTACTGTAAAAGATGGAAGAGGTTCATCTCTCAGCCAGCAGACGGCGTCCAACCCACACCAATTGCAAACTGTGGTTCACATGGGATTAATTCAGATTCATATTTATCTGTCTGGGTCAGACCTCATACTGTCCTGATGTACCATGGAGAGATGGACAAGTGTATCTGACATCTGTCAGACTTTTACCTTTATATGGTCAAATTCAGGGGATAATGAGTTGTACACAACTCTGTATGACACAAGTGTGTTTGGCTTTTGACTGAGTCAAACATTTAATTTAAAGCTTCATATTTTCTCTTCTCCTGTGTTTTATTTGAAGTGTTGATCCATTAGAAGATATATTTGTGGTTTTAAGAACCAATAACCATCTCAATGTCGTTTTACATCTCCTCTCTCAGGCTTCTCTCTGGAGCTCCAGCAACAACAGGTCAGTGAGCCAATCAGAAGAGAGGCTCAGAGCCTCCTCTCTTTTCTGAGTGATCCAATAAAAATACAGCAGATTTCAGGTAAAACACTCAGGGAGCCCAAATCCTGCAAGGTTGGATGGTGGGTCCAGGCGGGTGGGACTTGGGGTGTGGCTGTGAGCAGTGACTGCTTTGTTGTGACATCACAAAGTTCCAGAAGTCCTGACGGCTGGTTTTAAGTCTCAGTTTCTGAACACAGGCTGTGAGCATTTCTCTGTGGACTGAGGCTTTGATACTTTCACAGTATTAATATAGAACCCTTCTACCTCCTGCATATTTAATGTGGATTCCAGGGATGGACAGATAGATAACATGGATAATACTCACTACATTTACATTTACATTTACTCATGTGGCAGAAGCTTTTATCCAAGTCAGCAACATCACACAAGTTTCAGTGCAGAAGGAGACCTTGGTGTAAGTAGTATATCTATTTAATATGTGAAGGAGATCAGTTAAAGAAGCGCAGTGTACGTGGTAGTAAGACATGTTAGAGTGTTAGAGGTGTTAGGAGAAGATTCAAACACATACACTGTCTGACAGGATTAAAATCACACACACACACACACACACACACACACACACACACACACACACACACACACACACAACCTGAACCCTAAAACCTGGTCTTCAAACAGCCATTTCCACTTGTGAGGTTCAACATTCTGGTCCCCACAGAGCTGTCTGGATCCCACAAGAGTAGTAAAATAAACTCACACACACACAGACACACACACACACACACACACACACTTACCAAAGACCTTTCCGAGAAAGATGCTTTTGATCAAGTTGAACTGGGTGTCGGAGGCCTCAGGCAGGGTGTACGTGGAGACCGGGTAGTGGTCGAGCTGGAGAACATGGACAGAGGAAGAGTGACAAATTCAGCTGATAACTTGAATCTGTCATTAACACCTAGAATCTCACTGGTTTTACTTGTCCAGGTTTTGACCTGAGTACATTCAAACAGTTGAGCCACACTGGACAGTTTTCACTGGGACTATTTCTTCAGTCCATCAGCTAACGAGATACATGATGTTTATTAGTGAGAATTAGACGTGTTGTTGGAGTATTGTTGAACTTTGGACAGAGCCTTTTTCACCCTGCTTCCAGTCTTTATGCTAAGCTAAGCTAACCACACCCAGTTTCCTACATATCTGCAGTGACAGTGTTTGGTGTAACATGGCCAGATACTGCAGCAGTGGCGGGAAGTACTAACCTGTAGTCGTATCTCTCTTAGGTTCCTTGTTATGTTGACAGAGTGCGGCTGTCCGTTGGCTAAGTTACGGTGGTCGACGTCTATGGTGTAAGGTTCTGTCAGCCCCCCGAGACTGTAGCGGATCTGGAGGGTGCCTGGAAACACACACGGACAGACACAGGATAACAATGCAACAGCAGTTCATAGAATATATCAATTATATAAATGATTAAGAAATAAATTAGATAGGATGTTGGTGAGCCCACCGTTATGCCTGAGCACCACAGCGAGGTAATCCTGAGTCCTGGAACTGACGTAGACCAGGATGCTGGGGGTGCTGGAGGTGCTGAAGCTGAACACCAGCTCCTCCTGAGTCAGGTTGGCCTCACTAGGAACACTGACACCTGATAGGCTCTTTACTTCCCGCGACACAAAAGGCCCCGCCTCGAACGGGAAGTCGTAACGCACCAAGGTTCCTGTCTCAAAGTAGCCGCCAACATCTAACACACACACACACACACACACACACACACACACACACACACACACACACACACACACACACACACAGACAGAAACAGCAGCAGAAGAAGAAAGGTGTTGATCACTCTTTGCTGCATCTAACCTAACGAACGATGACATCATCTAATTAACCTGCTGTGATCTAATCAGATCTTGTTCAGCATTGAGGTCGTACCATCGGTGCAGAAGGCTCCGTCGTACGCGGTGAGGGAGCAGTCGCAGGAGTATCCGTTGTACTGCTCCACACACTTCCCTCCGTTCCTGCAGTGCATCCCGTAGCTGCTGCAGTGGCCCTGGCAACCCGGACTCACACCTGGAGTCACCCTTGCCCTCTCCTCCAGGTCAAAGGTCACACCATTTATCATCAGAGCCCGCATGCAGCCCAGGAAACCCCTCTGACCACTCGAGGCACCTGGGAAATTGAAGCATAGCATTACGGTGAAGTCCAGAGTTTATTCATCAACAGGTGTTTGAGTCATATTCTTCTACCTCTGTTGTCAGCCTTCTGACACCCCCTCTTTCTCGTCTGGACGATTTTAGCGCATAAAGGAGTTTTTGCTCCCGCTACATAGCTAACATTAACATTAGCAGCTGTTTACTTACCAGTCTTGCCAAAAGCTTCAGCCATCTTTGTGTTTACAATACAAGAGGTTGTAATATGTCCTCTGAGCAGCTACGTCTTCAGTACAGACGGGAGACTAAATTGACTCGGTATCAGAAAGTGACGGGACAGGAGGTAGCTGGTTAGCATGCTAACTTCAATAGAAGAAAAGACATGAATGAAGTTTAATGCTGCACGCACAACATTTCTTCTAGACCAGGTTTGCGCGATATCCGAAACTTAATGTCGATACAGTGTAGCCGAAATATCACAATATACGATAGTGATAATACTGTATTGTATGCCACTAAACAGCAGTTCAAAGGTTTATGTGTCAAATGCCAAATTATAATGTACAGTAAGCAGAGCAGTGATTTTTTAATATTATAAAGAATATTAATGTTAATATTAAAAAATGGTGATATTTTATGTTATTGACTCTACAACCATTTGTTATAAATGCTCAGTTCTTTGAAATACGTGTCTCAGGAGTAACACACCTGGTAACTGCAGTCGCATTGGGCTGTCAGCTCAACCGGCGCCGGTTTATAAAAACATGCTTTTTGCTTTCTGCTGCCATATGACTGTATATAACCACAGATGAATGGGATGAATGAGACTGTGGAATCTGAATCAAATTTAACTCTACACTGTGGACGTCGTCATCATGGACTTACATATGGTTCAGCTGTACATTAAATACAATGTCAACTACAGGGGCTTCGTAGACTTCAGTGCTTTTAATGGCTAGTAAATAATAAATGTCTATATGAGCTCATAGAATATTGAGCAGAATGATGATGGAGTTAGTGCTGTACCCTATCACTGCATGAAACACAGCAGTGGTGAACTGGGCTACACTGATGAATTATGTCACACTGTATACATATCATCATTATGACCATATGTATACATTCAAATGTTGCTTGTGCTGTATACAGTGGCACAGACACAAATACAGTTGTCTGTCTGAGTTTGTTCATCTGTCTTCCTGTCAGGGCCTTGTCCAGAGTCTCCTCCTGATCCAGGTACTCCGGCATCCGCCTCCTCTGATCCTGATCAGATGGGACTGTGTGGTTCCTTCGGTTTCTCAGTGGCCATGTTTGCTTTCCTCCATCATTTCACCTCCGCCTTTCTGTGCACTGTGTGGTGCATTCAGGAACTCAGGAAGTATCAGATGACCATGAGTTTTTTACTTTATGTTCAGATGGTCACCAGTCATTGATAAAGTGACATGTACTGTATGACATCACAGTACAGTACATCTAATGTGTGTGTGTGTGTGTGTGTGTGTGTGTGTGTGTGTGTGTGTGTGTGTGTGTGTCTTACCAATGTATAGCTCACTGTAGAACTCCAGTTTTGTGTGTCCCTGTGGGGGGGTGGGTCTGACCTCTCTGTACTGTCCATTAAGCTGCAGCACCGCCTCCTTGATGTTCTTCTCAGCCTCCACGCGATGCCACTGGTCATCGTTGAGAGGCGCCGGTGAGCGGACACTGAGCTCCATCCGCTCACTGCCCACGTCGAAGGAGAAGACGACCACCGAGCCTCCTGGGATAAAAATTGCACATCAGAAACATTTTAAGATCTCGCAATGATTTCTCCTTTTGAATTGAATTTTTTCAGTCAACATGGCTTTTTCAGTTCAGGGCTCAAGGCATTTAAAACTTCTGCTTGAACATCGCAGTAAAAAAAAACACATTTCTTACATTTCTTCATAACTCCCCTTTCATCAGTAAGAACCGTAGACTGTGATGTCACACACAGGTTTCTGAATAGCGGTTTTGAACTCAGAGTGAGCTGCTCCACCATCGTCATCTTGGCAGTACCTGACTCCACTTGTGTGAAGTCGAGTAGTGATGTTACCCTTCATTTTTCATCCCTGGATGTTTGGTAAGAACTAATCTTTTTAAGAACCTGGCCAAATAAAGCCTTATTTTAAGTGAACTAACCTGGTTATATATCTAGTCAATTAACACAGTTAACCTGGTTAAATAAAAATATGCTCCTGTTTGACTAGAACAAGAGGTTTAATTAATGAGTTATGTACAGTGAACACACACAGACACACCTCTGAGTTCAATGCGGAGGAAGTCAGTGGTTCCCAGGTTCTCCAGAAACACTCCATGAGTGGAGGAGGTCTTAAAGTAGAAGGAGATGTCGGTGCTGGTTTCACCTCTGAAGGAGGGGAAGTGGAGGGAGGAGGCGGGGCTGGAGAAGGAGGCTGCGTTCCAGTAGTTCCCTTCAGACAACAGCAGCAGAACATAAATACTCATGCTGATGAAATATCTCATCTCATAGTCTCTGGAAAGATTATTGTGTGTGTGTGTGTGTGTGTTTGTGTGTGGTTGACACTCACGGTCCCCCTGGCATTTGAGTGGTCCTACGGTCAGCTTGGCCTCAGATCCAGCTCTGCCTGTATCACCAACCACCACCTGACTGACTGGCAAATGGTCTTTATACACCAACAGGCCTGCATCTTCCCTCCTGCACAGACACACATACACACACACACACACACACACACACACACGGAGCAAAACACCTGTCAGTCTTTTGTTTTCTTATACAGTACACAGTATGTCCAAATAAAGTGTATTCATAATTATAACCACTCATTGGAAGTAAACACAGCTAACCTGTCTGTTAAATTGTCTATTGCATTATTAAAGTCTGCACATAAACAACAGTTGTAAGTAAATAAATCTACAACACAATCATTTCTTGATTATATGATCATTTCATATCTTGCAGAGCGCTAATTGTTTTTCTTCATTGAACAAATTAATTAAAACATTTGACCTGTTGCTAATATTCTATAATATTCTCCTTTATAACTATTTTACTTCTCTGACAAAACTCTACGATTTCAGGAGTAAAAACGTCCCATTTTTCATGAGTTGAAATAATAAGAAATAATAATAAAATGTTAAGGTGTTTTTCTCTTGTGACACAGACAGTATTTTTTTTATACAAACTGATTGATTAAGGGAGTGTCTTCATCCATTCATGGCTAATTTTGATAGTGAAGTGAGGCTTGTGCACATGTGGCCGAAGTGGAACCATGCGAACGCACAGCTTTATAATTCTGATGAAAAGAATGTGCACGTGTATTTCTGGTTTTGTTCGTTCACATAGATTTAGTCATGAATCTACAGAGAGTTGTGTCTAACCTCTGGACTGGAAAACATATAGACTTATACATATACAGTGGAAACAAGCAACACACAGTAGTAAGGACTAAAACAGAATCCTGCTTTTCATGTCATGTAGTCAATATTACTCCTCATGCAGTAACAGTGCTAACGAGCTCATTGCTGCTGCAGTGACCTCAGGTTCAACAGTTGAACATATAAACTCTGCGACATTAACCAGCTGAGCTGCTGCGTCCACTCACCAGGTCCTCTGGTCAGCGTCGCAGTTGCAGTAGTATTTGGGGTCAGTGCAGTTGTGTTCGATGCCACAGGAACACTTCTGTATCCCCGGTCCTGAACCCCCCCAGTAGGAATGCCTCTCATTGGCTCGTCCTACCCACCAGGTGAACGGGACGCCATCTGGGATCAAACCAGAGACCTGGAGTCAGTTTCCTTCATCAGAATGAGTCCTATCCTGCTCATTGACTCTGAACCCAGCACAGCTGTATCACACCAGAGCCAGATGTGGGTTTGTTGGTGACTGCAGAGGAAGCTGAGACAGTTCACGTTACCTGGAGTGTTGAGCAGACGAGACATGCGGCAGGCGTAGGCTACGTACTGTTCACAGTACTCTGCATTGCCAGTGATGGACAGCACCTGGACACAGGGATGAGACACAGAGCTCGGATTAGCCCAAAATGTCTATTTCAACGTTTGTGTTAATATGTCAAATATGCAACATAGGCATACATACAGCCCAAAGTATATGAAACGTAGCCCCTCTGTCGAAAGGGCAGGGTATATTGATGCCAACCAGTAGCATGGAAGCAGTGATGGTCCAAACGCCTTAAGACGTTCGAAACTGACGTGTTAACGTGAATGTAGGGTGGGCAATATGGCAAAAATATCATATCACGATTTTTTAAAAATAAAATCACGATTTCGATTTTATCACGATCTTAAATTGGAAAAAGAAAAACAGACAATTTAGACCAAAGAACCTTTCTTAACAGATTTTATTTCAAATAGTCGCAGTTTTGCCTGCATGTGCAAACAACGTAAAGTTTAAGGTAAGCAACAACAACATTCTGGTTCGTCGTGTTACCACCCGACGTGCGAACGGTTTCTGTGCAAACTTTGCAGATTACATTTGCTTGCGCTTGATCAGTTGCGGAAAATCCAAACCAATTCCATATAATGGTGGTGGAATTTTTTTAGCGACCAACTCCGTTTGGCTTTCAGCCATCGCTCTCCATGTGCTACCGCTACACACACAAACAAGGAGGCGGGTAGGAAAGTGCGTCACTGCCCGTAATTCGCTATGATTGGTCGGTCAGGTTGACGACGTCAATACGTCTGGTGCGTCGGTGCATCAGCATAGAACTGCAATTTATAGAATGTGCCCTAGACGATCCCACGATCTCTGCAGTTTGAAAGATCGTCTTCACGTTGTAATCCTTCACGATCTAATATCGTCATATCGCCCACCCCTACGTGAATGTCAAAATAAAAGTTTTGGACCAATCCGCGTTCCGTACAGAGACGTCTTCTTTTCATGTGTCATTTTATGAGAGTAAATAATGAATCATTCTATTTTTCACAAGAAAACTTTTGTTACAACAACACATTATTTTTTATAGAGGAAGAACACTTTCACAGTTCATTACCCGTCAGCTGTGAACTGGCCCATCATCACCATGACTTCAGATACTGTCACTGAAATAACCAGCAGGCGAAACAGTATTCATGTTACCAACAGAGACTAAGAGCAGCAGAGTGCTGAGTTAACATGACTTGCTGTTGCGTGATGGAAACAGACATTATGCTGAATTTACCATGTGTGCCAGTAGAGCACAGAAACTTTGAGTCATGTGACCCAGGAGTGAATGTTTACTGTTCTCTTCTCCATTGCTGACAAAAGCCTGATGTTAGGTGTGAGGTCTCAGCAAGTTTCTTGACCAGTGGAAAAGGGGCTTTCCATTAGCACCAGTGAACTCCAGCTGCTCCAGTCTGACCGCAACAAAGTGTGCAGCAGGTGAAGCAGGTCAGAGAGCGACGCTCATTGTGTACCTGTTCATCGGTCACGTTGTAAGTGATCTGCAGCGCTGCCTTCCCCTCCTGGTCTGCTCTGGTGACTGAGGTCTGAGGAGACAGGTTGTTCTTCAGTGTGGTCCACACCTTCTCCTCTAAAACACCAGAAAACAAACCATCAGTCAGCTTCTTCAGCAACTCATCCTCATCATCATCTCTTCTCTCTGCTGTTATCTGCAAGGTGCTGCAAGACCTTAAAGACCCGCAAGTTCTATTCTATTCTATCCAATATATTCTATTCTATTCTATTCTATTCTATCCAATGTGTTCTATTCAACTCTGTTCTACTGTGGTGTGTGGAGTATGTACACTATAAGTGTCGACAGTAGAGCTCATGTTTGTGCCACAATCTGGAGCGAGCACCCATTCTTCTGGGAAACAGACTTTGTTAGTGACTTACCCAGGGACAGGTGAGAGAATTAAAGAGGTGAGCCCTTCAGCGCTCTCACAGTGACACCTCACCTGTCATGTCACAGGTGACTCTGAAGGGGGCAATAGATCCACTGCCGTCTGGGTCGATCCAGTAGCTCCCCGAGCTCTTCCCCTGGTGCTTGTACTCCTCACAGGACTGCTGGTACATTGCTGCAGAGGACACACCACGCACAGCTCAGTAGATGCACAACAGTGCGTGTACTTAAGTGTGTGTGTGTGTGTGTAAACTTACAGGTATGGCAGGTAGCTCCGGTGTATCCAGTGCCATTACAGTTGCAGCTGAATGTGTCCCAGGTCTGAGAGCAGCGACCGCCGTGCTCACAGTGGTTGGGAACACACCTGACAAGACACACGAGCAGTGGACAGAAACATCATCATATACAGGGAGAAGACAACAGGGACCAGTTCCTAACCCACAATATTTGCACTGAGGCCCCAGAACTACAACTCTTATAATCTGGACTGAGTCATTTACCTGTCTATGATGGCGCACATGTCCAGGCTGACATTTTCAAAGGTCCCAATGAGACCCTGCTCTACAGCCCTGAGGTCAGCTAGATGGTCGTCTATGTGGATCATCTGCATGCAGCCCTGGAAGGGGCGCTGAGCTGATCGGGTGTTAGTGTGCATGAAGTAACCTGGAGACAAGCAGAGGAAGTTAAAGGTCATTATTACAACCACTGGAGAAACAGTTTGTCAGGAGTTTAGAAATACTGAGGTCATGAGGTCAAGCAGCTGCCCTAGGAACAATGTTGACACCAGACACCAGACACCAAACACAACAAACAGGATGTAACTTTTCCACATTAAATGTCTAAAAACATATAGACCTATGTTCTATATGTGGTCGAGTTGTGTTCTTATATTATCACAAATGTTTCCATCGATTCTCAAACCAGAGGAATCTGTGATTTTAATCATGGTAATGTTTCATTGGTCGCCTGTCAGTGACATCATATCCTCTATGATCATGTTCAGTGTGTCAGTGTGTTTGTCTGACAGAAGCTTAACATTGACTTTTATCTAGTTTGAAGCCACATACACTTTTTACACCTTGGTGGTTTTCAGCTTTATATTTGAACCAGATGAAGGATTTTAGTCGTCGGACGTCTGGATCTGAAGTTATCAGAGAAACAAGCTGAGGAAATGTTAGACAGCTCAGTTCCCAGCTGCTGGAGACGTCCTGTCCTGTGTCACTGAAGAGCGTTGCTGAATCTCTTTCAAAGTCAAACTGCTTTATTCAGTGTTTCTACTGGTTTTAATCCCCTGGTGTGTTTGTTATGGAGAGGAGGACACCTCTGTGGATCATTCAGCTGCTGGTAAAAACCTGCTGAACGTCTGCTTCATAAATTATCAGAGAAACAATCAGAACAAAGGTTAGCATCAATCTCAGCTCCAGCTCTTCCCTGAGTCTCTGTCCTCCGTACAGTGTCGCTCAAACACTGACTTTAAATGTCAAACTGCTTCATTCAGTGTTTTTAATGGTTAAAATCACCAGGTCTGTTTGATTTCCTGAACCACTGACACTGAAGGAATCCAAACCGGGAGGAGCTTACAGTAATGGTGGTGAAGACAACAACTCCCATGATGCCACACTATTTCAAGACGTCACCTGACGCCATCTTTTGTTCTTCTTCTGATTGAGAGACTCCTAGAGGCAGAAGTTACACACTGTGTGTTTACATATGAGTCTATATTTTCTGTAAACTCTATTTTGAAACAGAGAGGTCTAAATATTGTTTTAAAGCCATCTCCACATTGCAAGGAATAAAATTCAGGTGGGGAAATGACAAATCCTTAGTTTTATTCAATGGCTTAATGGACATATTTAAATATACTTTATAGAGTCTAAAATACTAGGATCAACCTTCTAAACATCCACAAAGCATCCACCAAGTTTAACGTGTGGAGTATCAACATCCCACCGGGTTTCTATAGCACCAAATTCTCCAAATACAGAGACATGACCACAGTGTCCTTGATAATAGCTGGTGTGGAACAAAAGTAGGGCGGTATCGGTATCTGAGTTTTTATGGAGTGTGTGCGGTGAATAAAACAACATTTACTCTTCTGTCAGACTCTCTTATCCAAAGTGACTAACAAGTAAGCAATATCACTAAAGCTTCAGTGCAGTGGGAGAGCTTGGTGTAAGTAGTAAGTACTACATCTATTTAGTAAGTGAAGGAGATCAGGTGAAGAAGTGCAGGTAGAGTTACAGTAAGAGCTTGTTAGACATGTTAGGGTGTTAGAGGTGTTAGGAGAGGAGGTCTCTCTGAAGAGAGGAGTCTTCAACAGATTCTTGAGGAGAGAGAGACGCTCCTGCTCTGATAGTGTTCAGTAGCTTGTTCCACCATCAGGGAACCACAGACCAGAACAGTCTGGACTGAGACTGTCTTCTGTGCAGGGATGGTGATGACAGACCACATTCATTGGTGGAACACAGAGAAGGAGCATCAGGCTGAATGACTGAGTTCAAGTGGATGGAGCAGACCCAGAAGTCTCTCTGAAGGCAGCATCAGTGACTGAAATGATTCAGGCCCTATGTATGAGTCAGGTATCACCCAGCCTGCGCTCCGAGGGTTCATAGATGACATCACAATAACAATGTGCCACATATCCAAGCAAGATGGGTATGGGAAACCCTGGACGTCACAGCCACCTGGGAGAGGATGTCCTTCAAGGCCAGGAATTAACTGTAAAATGCACCTCAACATGTGTATGACATAAGAGTGTGAAACACTTAAAACAACTTTGACTTGACTAAAAGAAACTAAGGTGATTGTTTTATGTGACTCACTAGCTGAAAACACAAATACCCTGCACTGCCAAAACTTGAATAATACAAAGTTACATTGGATGATTAGTTATCTTTTTGAGTAGTCACCTCCGAAGTAGTAGGTTCCTCCAGTCTGGATGTGGAGGGGCATGACTGTTCTGACTGTAGATGCTTCATCTCCATCCACTGTCAGCATTGCATAGAACTCCAGTGCATTCAGATGGACACTGTGCCACTGGCCGTCATTCAGACCCGAGCCTGAGAGGAAAAACACATTTCAGTCTATGAACTATGGAACTATGAACAGGGTAAAACTGACAACAAGGTAAAAAGGGGCTAAATGTGATGACTGATCACACTAATTGAAGGCTCCTGAACTTCCATTCTGATGACCAATGAGCTGGGCTCACCTGATGAGATATCAATGTAACGTATGCTCTTCTGCTGTGTCACATTCACGTAGATGTTGACCTTCCCTTCCAACAGTCCCACCTCCACCCAGCCGTCGGCCAGCGCTGTGAACATCAGCAGCCCATTGGGGTTCCATGTCCTGAAAGACAGGCTGACTGACAGAGTGTCGCTGTCACTCTGACCCGGCAGCCGCAGGAAGGATGTGGAGTTGAAGAAGACGGGGAAGGAGTTGGACTCGCTGCAGGAGAATGTCAGGTTACGCTACAGAGGGAGAGAGAGAAGAGTGATGGAATTATAGAGGTAGATTTCAATCATGTACTGTAGGTGACTTATCACTGGACTATTCCTCAGTCAGGTTTCATTTTGAGAGTGAAACTTTTAATTGCAAGACTAGGTCTAAACGTAGTCTATGTCTGGACCTGTGGTCAAATCCTGACTTTATAACTGTGACGTCATCTGACAAAATCACCAAACACATAAATGAAAGACAAAGACTGAGAAGAAAGTTAGAAGAAACTGACTATCCTTCTTTTTTTAAGGTTATTACACACACAGCAAAGGGCCACAGGCCAGACTCGAACCCGCGCCGCCACAGCAAGTACTAAACCCCAGGTGAATCATGGGGCCCGAGACAGACTATCTTTGCTATTCAGTCTCTCACACAGAGCACAGCCTCCGTCTGGATCCACAACAGTTTAGTCTTTATTTACTTCAACTCCAGAACGTCACAGACTTTTATTAGAGACAGGTCTTTATGTCTAACTCCCTCTGTTTGATATGTAGAGTTGGTCATAGTCGTTAGTAGGAAGCCTCATTAGCGATGACTTCTCTCTCTCTCCTGCTCTCTCTGCTCAGTGTGTCTTGTGTTTAGTTATTCCTCTGCCTCCTTCAGTAATAATCACACATGTAATGAAAGTAGTTTATTTGCTGTAATGGAGGAGATCCTCAGTGTATTGGAAGCGCTCCTCCTCTTCCCTGCAGTTCCCGAGCAGCCGGTAAACCAGAGCAGCTTGGTAGACTGCGGCTTGGCACGCTGCTGACCAGTGGTGGAAATATCATCAGTCAGTCAGTCAGTCAGTCAGTCAGTCAGTTAGCCAGTCAATCAGTCAGTCACATTCAATATTATAGGGCTGGCCCCGCTGTTTCGGTCCAGCCTTAGTTATGAACAGCAGGCTTGTTCAGTCTTATGAAAAAATGTACTGACCTCGCCGCACAGATTATACATGTATAAGAAATGATAAAGCAGGGAAGGAAAATGTTACGACAAGGTCTTTTGCACTGTCTACATCTGTGGTCATAGATGACTACAGCTTGTGCTGAGTCAGTGCTGAACATCCAGATAACTAAACCATTTCAAAACCCGCAGAAGCTAAGGAGCAGGTCTGAGCCATTATAGATCATGATGGACAGCTGAAGGACAGGGGGAGAAGATCTTTGTCAAAAAAGCTTCTCTATCATGGCATATATGGCATCACCTGACTCTGGAAGTCTCTGCAGCAAAATAACACAACAGTCTCTAACAGAGGTCAGACTGACACACATCCCTTTCAGATGCACTCAGACACACGTGACAGAAAAGGAATCAAACGTAAGCCAGGTGACTGTAAAACCACACATGCTCAGAGCCAGAGGGAGCTTTCTTACAAAGCTGGACGTGTCCACCTTCTTCCTGCGGACCAGGTTAGTGATGTTGTCTCCGTTGTAGGTGATTCCCTCCATGCAGCCCACAAAGTTCTCTCTGCCTCCTGAGCTCGGCTTCGCTGACACGGCCACACCTCCGAAACTGATCTGAGGGCACAGCAGAGTGGACAACATGGACCAAAGGACAAAACACAAACACTTCCTGTCAGGAATTCTTCCTTTCTTTTGTGCTGATAGTAGTGCTAATACTCATTTCCTATGTACTTTACATCATAAGTCACATACTAGGCCAACTGATGCTTAAATGAAATGTTTTTGGTTTTATCTGTACAAAAACCTTTTGGCCACTTCTTGGGAAAAGGACACGTGAATCACCCGCAAACTTAATCCTACATCCAAATTACATTATCCAGCCAAACAGGAAATGCAGCATTACACCCAATTAAAATACTGAATGAAAAATTAAACTGATATTATACAGTACTGGCAGGGGCAGCAGAGGCTCTTTCAGCTGGTCAGACTGGTGTTACTGAGAGTTTTCATGTGTGAACTAAGCATCAACCTCCAAGCCTGAAAAATGAAGCCAACACTTAACAACCACAAACTGCAGTTCCTCTAATGACCACTAGATACCACAACCACAACCTTTAATTAAAGCTTCCAGCTTTAATATTTATTTTTTTATTTTATATTGATTAAATCATGAGATCTGCCTGTCTTAGGTTAGGGAAGTCTTTCCTGCAATCAGACTATATAATGCATCTCTGTGAATCATCCAAAACACCCTTACACTCTCACCCCTGTACTTTAATAAAGTCATCTATCTATCTATCTATCTATCTATCTATCTATCTATCTATCTATCTATCTATCTATCTATCTATCTATCTATCTATCTATTCATCAAGGACAAAGTAGTAGTGAGGTACGGAGAACACACAGACAGACTGTCTCCATCCTCCTCCTCACACATACTGAAGCAGCAGCAGCAGTAGTTGTCGAGTCAGCAGTATTGATTGGCTATTATCAGATTTCACTACAACTGAACCTAACTCTTATATCACAAATCAGGGCCTGACAGTTTGAGTCCATCCATACAAAAATGGATACATTTGAAACCCATTTGTGTCTCTCTGTTTGTGACACTGCCCACACTGAGAAGATGATTTTAGTGTGTACAGGAAAAAAAGAGCATAAGTAAAGTAGTGACTTGAACCAGGTGACAAAGAAAAGACATTTTCCCAGTTTTCAGGTGTTTCAGATCTTTACAAAGACAAACAGGACACACTAGACTGGATGTACACAGTTTTCACATGCAAGCGGCATCCTGAAAGTTAGCCAGCATAGTGTGGAAGAAGTCAGAGTGAAATGATGAGCAATCATGATGCTGTGGTGACTGCTTTGTTGTGACATCACAAAGTTCCAGAAGTCCTGACGGCTGGTTTTAAGGCTCAGTTTCTGAATACAGGCTGTGTGCATTTCTCTGTGGACTGAGGCTTTGATACTTTCACAGTATTAATATAGAACCTAGACCTGCTTTATAATCAAACTACACATGGACATCTGCCTTTAGACTGTATGGAGCTTTAACTCCTAGGCCTTCAGGTACAGGTACTGCATGACATGGTGGACATTGGTTTGTTACTGCTCAGCTCAACAGACCTCTTCAGTCAGTTCACACCACTAGTGTTTATACCACTGTTACTTGACATGGTGAAAGGGCCTGACAGAGTCTTTACCTCATAGTCCAGGTCCAGGTGGTCAAACTCTCCATTGGTCCTAAACTGCTGAGTGTGGTGGTCCAGGGTGAAGTTGACGTTCCTGCGGTAACGCTCTATGACGACCGAGTGCCAGTGGTCGTCGTCCAGTAAGCTCCCACTGGTCACAGAGGTGTGACCCTGGATGGAGCCATACTGGTTACTGCCTGGAAAGAAGTAAGTGAATCACATAGACAGGAACAGGCTGTAAAGGTTTATCATGTCTCCTCTGACAACATGAGACAACACAGTCCTGAGCGTTTCATTACAGCTGAGTGGACCGTCTCTGCTGTCCTTGACACCACACAGACTTTACAGGAGGATACCTAAGTTGATGCTGAGCTGCAGTCTCGCCCTGCGGAGCTCCAGGGAAATGTAGTCCCCCTGTTGTCCCTCTCCATGGAGCAGGACCCCGTCTCTAGCTGTGGTCCTAAACTTCAGAGAGATGATGTCCTTCACAATCTTCATCTTCTTACTCCGGAAGCGGTAGGAGATGATGCCTTGGCCGTCAAAGCTGATCACGTCTGCCCCTGCAAAATGGAGGAAAAAAAAGAAATTGTAAGTATCTCCTAAGTCTGGGAGAAGGTAGAGAGACCAAATCACAAAGAGTCTTAAAGGGCTGCTGTCATTCCACGTCACAGTGTTCTGGAAACCCTGAATTACCTAAAAGATACGACTCAATCACGGGGGGAATAATGATCGTTGTGGAGTTTGTGAAGGTGCAATAACATCTCCAACTGAAACAACCCGATCAGCGCGGAGATGAAGTGTTTGGCAACACTGCGTTACTTGGCAACAGAGAAAGACTGATCTATTCACCAAACAATAAACGCGCTCTGACGTCGTAGGACAATTCATATGATTTACCTTAGATGTTCAACAACTACAGAGAAATAAAGCAGCTTCATGGTCGGTCTACCTGCTGTGATCGGTGCCAGAGATGGAACACATGTAAAACTGATTTCACCATCACAAGACGAGGAGGTGTTTGTAAACAGGAAAACAAAATCACACCATCAACACACAGGTTGTATTGATGCCGCCTGTACAGTTGTAGACGTTGTTGTACAGTGTTCAGGATCTACACACGAGTCATGGATCTGAATGGAGAGTGACCTGATCAGCTGTTTGAAAGGCTCATATTCTGGCTGGATGTCACCTGGTGGGGGACAGGGGAAATGTTCACACCTCAATCCACAGCTGGGACCACAGCTACATTACAACAGGTACAGCTGCATCAGACTGTGGCTAATAGGCTGTCAGTTAGCTTTAGTCAGGTTGTCTAGGACAGGTTCGTTGTTTTTTTGAGAGAGAAAATTTACCAAAGATTTTATAGTAAAATTAAATTCTCCTGGGTCGACACAAACCTGATCATAAAGATGCATTTTGGAGAATGCACTACTTTAGTAAACAGCAGCTGATCTGTTATTATTTCATTTGTATTCATTTATTTCTCAGTGTTGTTTTATTATTACTGCAGGATGTTGCGCCTGTGTTTTCACCGGCCACACACTGGTCTTTCAACAACCAATCGCTGTGGTTCCTGAGAGGGAAAATTGACGTCAGCCATAGCAACAGAGTGTTAGCAACAGACTCTTAACTTAGGAGTTTTTCCTTTTCCTTACTAAAAGTTGGTGTCAGCAGCTTTGTGAAGAGGACTTAGGAGGAAACTTTTAGTTAGAAACTTTTAGCCTGACTTAAGGAGTACTAGTGATAAGATAAAACGCTTTGTGAATACTGGCCCTGGGATCCAGACCTGTCACATCTGGTGGCTGTGCCTGCTGCTGCACCAGGTTCATTATAGTGTCCTAGATTTGTTTCGTACACAAGGACAGTAACCATGAAATCCCCGGTGCCATGTCAGGAGATTTGAATAATTACGTTTTGTTTTACTGTTTGTTTGGTCTGTGGAACGCATTACATTGGCAATATTTAAACAACATGAGCACACATGAGAACACATGTGTTAATCAATACTGTCTTCAGTCCATTATTAAGGAGTGAAAAGATCATTCAGCTTCATCATCAATTCATCATTTCCACTTCCGGCGTAGCCAAAGTTTTTCTTCGCCCTGAGCTCAGCCTCACAGGCTCACGCTGCAGGGCTGCGTACAGCTCCGCTCACCACTCGCTTCACCTAACGAGCACTGTATGAGGAACACCTGTACACCTGCACCTCCTTATTCATGTAAGTATCCAATCAGCCAATCGTGTAGCAGCATGAGGAGTTTCAGTTAATGTTCACATCAAACACATGACGTACATTTGGTCTCATCTGATCAGAAGCAAAGTGGAGGTTTCTGGTACAACTTCACCTAAACATGCCATTCTAATACAGTTCTTCTGTTTACTCCAAGTGCTGCTGGAGTTTTGGCCTCTTTAGATCTCATTTGATCTGTACAGATAGAAATGGAGCATCTGTGACTCTACTGTGAGACCCCGGAGACATGACTCTTTCCTGGACAGTGTCCTCTGCCTCTCCTCAGTCCGGTACTGAAGTTCATACACTTTCACCACAGATCACCTCAGAAGGTGAAAGACCAAGTTACAACAGCTGGTTCACCACAGATTCCTCTTACGCCCACATTCTCCTGGTTTCATGATCTGAGGTTTTCAGAGATCAAACTTCATAACACCTGTACGGTTCAGCCTCATATCTCATCAGTTACTCAGCTTTCTTTGTTTTCTCCATCATCAGCATTTGTAGCTGCCGCTTCATCATGTTTGCTCAGTTACTGGCAATGAAGCACCGTCAGATTCTTAATGGTCAAACACTTTCATCTGGCAGATCACATGATCACATCACATGAGCAGATTCATCCTCTAAGGTCTTGGCAGTGTTGGTAACCTCGACCTGCTCTCAGCAGCCGTCCTCACTCTAATCCCAGCTGTTGATCAGATTGTTCTGCTCAGTGGAGATCAACATGCAGATGCTTTTCACTGATTGGTCTCTTCTTCAGGACTTCAGCATCCAGGTAGAAGACAGGTGGGAACCTTCCTTTACCTGGTGAACTGCTCACCCATCCTTTGTCCCCCTGTTCACATCTCTGTGATTCTCCCTCCATCATCTTCATGTTTCTTCATCTCATCTTTACAACCATTTATTTATCATTTACAAACATTTATAACTGGTAAAAGGGTGAAACACATCATCATTTATCAATGAGTTGCTATTTAAACTGGTAGCACATTAATAAATGATGATGTGTTTTACACGCTACAAACAAGGGTCCTTTTTTACTAGTTATAAATGGTAGTAAGTCATTAGTAAGATTCATGAGTAGAAAGCATTACCTTGATCCTGCCAAATAGTGAGCTGCATCAATGTATGAAAACGGTTATAACATGTTTATAATTGTTTATTTATGATTTCAAGTGTGAACAACTGAATTAATAACCTAATTATAAACCATTTATATATCCTTAGTGCTATTGTGAAGTGCTACCCTGACTCTTCTCCCCACACTCCTCCTGTGAAGGTGCCTCTTACCTGTAGAGCCACAGTTTATAGGAAAACTGGTATTTTATTCCTTTTAAAAAACATATTTAATGATTTTAATTAGCTTTTTTTGGGAGCAGTTAGATGTGTAATTAGATTGTTTTAATAAACTAATTAACGCCTCCCTGTCTGTTCAGTCCTTCTAATAGCAGGAAACATGTTGCCTGTAAATGTGGAGTGCCGCTGTAGAACAGCTGAGGTTGGTTCAATCGGTTTGTCCTCTCTACTCACAGTACGAGCAGCCGTAGAGCTCCAGACGGACTCCGATGCGTCCCTCCCTGCTCCAGTCCAGCGGGATGAAGCGGATGTAGCGAGCCAGGATGGCGTGCTGCAGCTCGTGGCGGACCACGCCCTCACTGTTCACGTTCCCCTCGAACGTCTGAGACACAAAAACAAACACGCTGCAGTTTTCTGGCAGACAGGTCCATGCGACGCTCATCAGTTCAACACTCAAAACTAGAAATATCAATAACAGAAAATTGAACAATTTAATTTATTTTCTAAAATAATACTTTTTGTTCATGAGATTTGATAGGAGGAGATGTGTGGGCCCTCTGGCCAATCAGACACAAGCTGAGTGAGGCATTTAGATCCTGCCCTTTCAGTCAACACAAGGCGTGAATAGAAATAAAAGTTTTCTAATTGTCAACCTTTTACCTTAAACTCCATGGATTAAATTTAGAAACCCTATTCCAAACCATTAATTATACATTTATCTGGTGAATAAAAATAATAATGGAAGTGCTAGATTACATTTCATTTAAAAAATCAATAATAGATAGAAATACAGACAGAACACTCTGGGTTCTCACTCCCTTTATTTACAGGCTTGTGGCACAGTTAAATGCCACATATTTGTTATTTCATTTAGTCAGTATCAGTGGTACAACACACATTCAACAACATTTTATTTTAACTTGAAACTGCACATTGTCTCTCTTCACTGTCTGAGGTCGTATCTCTTTTTATTTAATAAAAATAACTGGATGAACGTATGGAAGGAACTCAAATCTCCAGTTGGAGCCCACTAATATATATAATAAACTGATCTAATGCTGTACAATTGTGCTTTTATACTGTTTTTCTTCTTCTTTTTTCTTGTTATTGGTAATGTGATATGCAGTGTGGTTTTGATATTGATACTGTCACATTTTGCTATGTTTCTTTTTATATTTCAGAAAAGTAATAAACGATTGTTTATAAAGTATATTTATATGAATGTGTCACAATGAGCAACATTGAGAAAAAAAGAGAATAAAATCATAATAGTTCAAGAAAAAAGTCATAATATTGTGAGAATAAAGTCATTTTAGGGTGTGTTTTGTTTTAGAGGGGAACTTTAATATGACGAACGTGGAGCATCATGTGAAGTTCTACTTTAGCAGAGGTTTCACTAATAAGGAGAAACTTCATCTTTTGGCTCATCATCATCATCATCATCATCATCATCATCATCATCATCATCATCATCATCATCCTGATCAGGACATTGAAAAGATTGAGAAAATGAGTCTATTCTATTGCTAGTCAGACAAACAGCTCAGGCTGACACTGACTGTCCTTTCACCTGTTTGAGTGGTTGATGTAATATTCCTAAAAATTATGTTTTTTTTTCTCTCTCAAAATTGTACATTTTTAATTCTCGTAATAATACGACTTCATTCTTATGATATTATGACTTTTTTCTTGAAATATTACAACTTTACATTTATATTATATTTATATACAACAATAATATGATTTTTTTCTCAAAATTACTACTTTATTCTTGTAATATTCTGACTTGATTCTTGAAATTTCAGATTTCTTTTTTTCCCTCAATGTAAACCTAATATTCTAAACCATGTTGAATTGACAACGATATTATTTATGCAAATTAGAAGGTTGATGTTTCTGTTAGCTCTGTACTTTACTTGAGCCTATCTTTTCAGTCTACAGTTTGTTTATATGTTTTTTAAACTCTGTAACACCAATCACAAAAAGAATTTCTACGTTTAAATTGGTTGAAATTGCGCAAAATCTGAAGTTACAACTGAAGTACTTCATAATCATTTATGGACATCTTTCCACAACAGAGGGCTGAGAAACTGCCACTGTCACTGTAAGACTACGCTGCACTCATGTGGTTGTGGCATGTGGTTTTAAAAGGCCACAAAAGAAGTTAAGATTTGATGAAAACATGAGATTCTTCCTCACCCAGATGTTTCCATCCTGTAGATAAGGCCTCCAGTTTTTCGGCGTGTCACTGTAAAGCAGCCGATACTTCCTGGTCCAGTCGGAGCTACTGTAGCGACCCTGAGTCGCTATGGCAACCACCTGCTTCCTAGCACCCAGGTCCATCTGTAACCACTGGTAACGGTCCGTGTCCAGGGGCGACCAGCCTCCATCACCTAGGTGTAAGGTGGGAGAAAGGTAAAAGGAAGAAGAGCAGAGATGCGTGTGTACTGTTTCTTTAAGAGACTCCAGCTCTGTCGGTGATGTCATCACAGGAAGTCAAGAATATATCAGTCAGTCTCCTCGACCTCGATGGAAAACATCATGAGGTCAAGAAAAGATCTGAAGGAGAATTCATCAGGACTTAGGAAAACTATCTGACTGCACTGACACTAGGATTTCTTTTTTAACTTTATAACTAATGGAGAATAAATCCTCCTTTCCTAACCACAGAAACAAAACCAACAGGACTGAAATGCTGAAATGAGATTACATGAAAGAAAAATACAAATAGAGAAAGTTGAGTCATTCAAATAATAATTCAATAAAAATAAGGAACTGAGCAAGAGATCAGAATAACTTCTATTCAGACATTTATAGAGAGTTTAGTTTCCTGGCATAGGAGCTTTTGACATTTCTATACAATTGTTAAATTAAAAAATATATATTTTTAGTGCTTTACACAATGAGAGGATTTAGTGAAACAACATTTATGTATAGACTACAGTATTTTGTTATGATGATGATATTGTTTACTATAGATTCAACCTGTTTGTTCTTCATGACTCCTGATTGGAAGAGAATAAATCTATATTTATGGA